AAAGTAAAGACAAGAGCGCTGATATTGTGCCAACACAGGTGAGTATGTAAACACAGGTGAGATTTACCTGTACACGGGTCAGGACCATCCCAGCTAAGATCAGGTAGACAAGTGCGCTCAAACATGTCACCGTTGAGACATCGGAATTGGCACACGGAGCCCGGTTTGAAAGACTTCCCCTTCAGCATAGCTTGGGAGAATGGCTGTCCATTGCTGGTCAAGCAGTCCGTGGCATAGCCTACCCCACGAGACAGCGGTGGGCAGTGCCCGGCTGATGATTGAATTTAAAAATAAAATGTACAGATCAAAGGTATTTATTATCATAGCTCATAAATGTACAATTCTACAAGTATGCTGATGGTTATACTGCTTTACATAAAAGGAGAATAGAATATAAACAACAAAATATTTGTTTTAATTATTTCTACGGATATTATACCCATTGTGCAGTGGTTATAAAATGAGGAAATTATTTTCTATGCGTTGAGTATTTGGAATTAGAAATACACCATTTTAAGATTTTTCACTGTTGTCACGTGATATTTTACTTTTTATCCGTGCATGTGTGTATAAATGAAACAAATATTAAGCTTACCAAACACAGCATTAAGGGTACAGATGCATAGTATAATAACTGCTCTTCCCATCACTCCAAGGAAGCAGACGCTTACGCGGTTTTCCTTTAAAACCACCGAATAATTAAAATATTTGTATTTTTCGTCTACGAAGAATTTTGAATGTCTCTGCCTTTCAGTTACAATAAAGTAAAATGACTTGATCTATATGTCCTTGACTGCAACAACGTAACCGGATTTAGATCTGTGGAAATTTGTGATTAAGTGGAATGTTTACCGTGTGATGACAGATGATACCTTTTGCATCCTCAAATCTGATTGGCTGAGAAGGTCACCGCACCACACATTACCTCAAGGCGCCATTTCTTCCGCCCAGGAATATAGTTCCTAAGGATTGTTCTCGATAAGTTAGGAGGGATTTGGCATCTCAAAATATTAAAGTCATGTTGTCTGCTTAGAATCTCTTTATTTATTTTCCTGAGGAAAGAATTGACTGGAACAGGGATGTCCTGTCCTTTACAATAAGCTTTATTATAAGTGTTGGCAATACTCTCAAAAAAAAAAAAAAAATACAGTGCCGATTTGTAAAGCTGAAAGTCTGCACTTCTTTGTGTCTGTAGTAAGATTCTATGAGTTAATGTCTATATATTTGAATTAAATGGACTTTTGCTGAAGATGTTTCTCCTTCTTGTGGCAGTGCCTTCAATATCATCACATCCCACTTATATCATGCCCGCACACATCAGTCCTGTCACATTCCGGGTGGACATGTTAAAAATATAGCCGCCATGTAAACGGCAGTCATCACTAGGACTGGATTCCCATACCTAGATTCATCTAACAGGATCGATCTATCTCCGAGGGGTTTCTTGCTAAATTGCTTTCAGCTTAAGTGGCTTAGATGTCTGGGATGCCTACTAATCAAAGCTGTTTAACGATAGTTAATTATCCCCTAGTAGCCTCAGTAGGCGTGCCAGACATCTAAGCCGCTTTAGTGGATTGCAATTTAGCGAAAATCCCCTCGGAGATAGATTGATCCACAGTTAGTACGATAGTGTCTGGGAATGGTCCCTAGGGCTCTCACACCCAGGGTGACAATCTCAGGGTGATCTAAACAGAGGATTTTCCTGTATAAAAAGTGCCCTTTTAAGAGTTCTATTAAGTCCAGGGTGACAGTAATCCCGTGTTACATGATGAATAGGCCTATATGATGAAACTAAGGGTAACGAATGTAGGAGGAACAAAGTATCCCAGATAGCAAAGAGTGGTCGCGCCAACGTCGGCCCGACGACTTTGCCTCCGTCGGGCCAACGTTGGCAGACGACGTCGGTTCGAAGTCGGCGTGTCCGGCGGCCCGCCGTCGGCCCACCGGTGGTCTGCCACCCTTTTGCCAACGTCGCACCGACGCTGGGCCGACGTCATTATGGATAAACGGCGNATGGTACGTCCTAAAGACATGTTGCTGTTACTGATCTACAACTCAGAGTAGCTGCAATCATAAAGTAAAGCCGCGAGAGGTCTGAAACTACAGCCGCTTGTGTACATATAGGAGCGTTATCATGAAAGCACTGTTGTCTGGATCACGACAACCATGTAGTACAGAAATGATCGGAAACCCAGGGTAACGTTAATCATGTGCTAATATCGAGAAACAGGAGCCATGACAGGCAAGGTGAACGGCTGGCGTTGATCTATATGTAGAGGAGAGACAGAAATGACAGATGTCGTGACTAAATCGCATGGTGGCGGTAACCTAATGTTAAATCAGGAGATAGACACGGCGGTCACGTTGAACCCCAAGGTGACCGCTAACGTGCCAGGCGTGCGCTGACTATGACAATATATAGGAGCGTCGCCACACTTTGTTTGGATGTTTCACAGGTGTGACAGGGATATCTGATCAAGTGAAGAATTCACTGGATCTATCCCCCCCCCCCCTTAGCACGGGATCAGTATTCCCCACAGTCTTTTTAAACAACACTTCTTGTATTATAACAAGCAATACGAAACGAAACCAAGCAATTTTCCCAACCCGTGACCTGCATATTAACACAGTGAAACTTTCCTCGTCTGCTGTTTCATATTTATGACTTGTGCCAACACCCCTTTCCTCCCCAGCCCCCACCTCTACTAAGTAAATACCTGGTTTCGCACTTGGACGAATAAATGCATAAAAACAGTTTGTAAAGTCTAAAACGCAGGCGCTCTATAGGAGTTTGTTGATAATTTGCTGAGAGGGATATATTTAGCTCTGGTACTCTCTGGGTGTTGTCAGCAATGGTATGCTGGCAAAATAAAGAGTCACCATCCTCTCCCTGACCCTCAGGGTGCTCGCTAGCATATTCAGGTGTGGATGGTGAGTCACAGTTAGACCTGTCTCACCCAAATCAATTCTTTAATGGCATTTAACTTCAATATTCCGTAATACTATACATTCCTTTTTTTTTTCAATAGGTTCGTTTGAATTTAAAAACAGGTTCGCTGACATTGATCCAAGGAAACAAGTGACAGACTTATAGACTTTCTTACATTTGCTTCCTGGTTCACACACACAGCAAACTACTAGCTTTGGCATTAATGTATTAACTTTGAATCAATATATATTTGTATGGACATTTAGTGGACTTTGTCATGAATCGTTATGTAATTTTTAAGCGGTTTGTGTACCTGGAGAGAGTATAGGACAACCAAGGCCTGGGGGGGGGGGGGTGTCAGATTTTTGTGACTTATTTTTCCTTCCTTACAGTCCATATATCAGTTAAGCATATTTTAATAAAAGATTTTAAAAATATGATGTGTTTGCTTGATTTATACACCTGCATGAAGCGGTTTGTCTGGTCTACAGGGTAAGACTCACGTATTATCTTTCAGCAAAGCTATCCATAGTGTCGAATTTACTTTGTGTAAAGCTAGACAAAAATCTGATTAAAACATGTTCATTGGTATTCATATTAGGTTGGTATTCCCTGGTATGATAAAGTATCTATTATATGTCGATAACTCATTTCTTGTATAAAAACACGCCCTCTCTGTATGTCTTTCTCTCCTCTGTGTGTGGCTGGGTGTGAGTGCTCTGATTTTTTATGCCAATTTTCTTTCAGGAATTAAAAACAATCAAGATATAGAATATCTTACAGTGTAATAGGCAATCCAATTCATTTCTGTATTGTAGCCAAAAATGCTAGCGCGCAATTGCGTGACAAGAATACTCACAGTCGCATAGCGCATCCTTGTTTAAAGGAAAAAGACACACCACTATGAGTGGAAGGAACAGAAATGTACGGGCACAACTGGAACCAGGCAAAAAAAAAGTGAGGAAGAAAAACACAGTTGCGCCCGAAGCGTGTGCGTCACTGATAGTAGCTATAAATCTCACCACGCTGCGCTTATATTACGTGACGTTTTCGAATGTTTGCTGATATAATTACAAATAGCAAAATGCCGCGGGATTTTTTTTTTTTTTTTTTTTGTGGTTGTTCTGTCAAATCGCGCTATATAGGGTTAGGCTTTTCTTGGAAAGAAAACATTCTATAACCTAGCCCACGATAAATAAAAAGCCTGGCTGCTTGAAAGAAATATGATGATCAGACTTTTTCGAACTATTAGTCTATGAACATAAAAGATATAGATAAGAATTTCTTGAGAGAGATAATATAATGAACAGAATGTTGAGAACCTCTACTGGATTACAAATACAGGAAAAGGCTTTGAGTGATTCATAACTAATCAAAGTATGTATTACGGTATTTCAACTGTTTAAAAACAATATTTTTGTTCTCAGTTTTTTTACAGCACCGCTTTGTATGAGGGATATTTATACACTACACGTATAAGCAGCAAATACTGATTGTAATCAAAACATTTCACTCCACTCTCCCTCCCTCCCTTCCCACGACCCGCCGGTAGAAATTTTACAGCTGTTAATTTCTAATCATACGTTTGTAACAACCCTGATAAGCTGTATTAATTTCTCCGACTTAATTAAGACTGCGCTTGGACAGACAGACAAATAGATTCGCTTCTCTCTCAAGTATAAAATTAATCAAGGTCACTAGCGCACAAAATCTCTCCTGTTCTTCGACTATGGGTTTAACGGGGCATGACGTTGATTTTTTCTTTTTTTTTTCTTTTTATTTTCTGCATCAAATAAGGCAAATTTGTTACTGATGGTAAATTTATTTATAAAATTATTCATTTGTTGTTTTAAACATGAAGCCTTAATTTCATTAGTTGTAAAAAAATAAAACGAGATTACACGTGGACATCCATACTGGCGAAAGATGACAACGAATTACAATAATAATGCGTTAAAAAAGGAATACGAGATTATCGACACGATCACAAAGTTAAGACAATAGGATTCATAACATCAATAATAGTCGTTGGCAGCAAAGGAGAGGGGAGGGGCACTATTTACATTTAAAAAAAAATAATCTCTTGGGGACTTTTTTAAAAGTTCCCGCAAAGTACAGCTATGAAGTACAACAGTCCCCTCCTCCTCCATACATTTTTATCAGCCTGCTACTCTGAATAGTAATGTTTTAATTTGTAAGTGACCGTTCTATTTCTAATGTATATAACAATCAATGTTTTGCATGATATATATAATGAAGTCTCTTTTTGTTTTTCAATAAATAAACAAACAAACAAATTAATTAAATAAATAAATAAAATAATAAGAGAATCAAGTCGACTATATGTATTATAAATCACTTTAGTCTTTACAGTGGAGTATTCTTTTTATTTGTTCACAATTCAATCGTAGCAGAGTTGTCTTTGTTTGGCTTATGCCTTAGTCACGTGACTTCTCCTCCATCTGTAAGAAAATGATATTTCTATTAAAATCTAAAAATTATACTAATATATTATGATACAGAAAAAAATTGCACGAAATCTGTATTGAGTGAAAATTTTATACATGATCTTCAATTAAGTAAAATTTATATGCATATTATGTAATCCTAGACCTAATTTACGTTGCCCTAATTTGCATTTGTGTTGTTATTTTTATTTTCATTTAACATGGATCATACGAATTAAGCTTCATGCGATCAATACTGAGATTTGTACAACAATATAGTAAACAAATATTTTGCTGTTTGTTTACAATGAAATAATATAGCTATGGACAGATTAATTTATCAATTAGTATATACCATACATATAATTAAACGCAAACTAAATAAAACAATAATCATAATGATAAAAGATACCTACCCAATGGTAAACGTAGCCACTATGGAGGCAACAAGAAGAATAGCTGAGCTGGTAAAACTAGCAATCACCCAGTCCCTGTCTGCAGCTACGCTTCCGAGGAATACAATATTGTCATAGGTTGTGGGCTCTAGAATATAATATGAAATAACAGATAGTGGTACCTAGGCTATCATAGAGAGGGATGATGTGTCATGGGTAAGAGTCTAATCTCGCGCTACCTGTCAGCAATACAAACACATATAAACGCACCAATGCACAAACATACATACAGACATTTCTGTACACACACAAATGCACGAACACACAAACGCAGACGCACAAACAAAAATTTCAGTGTTAAAAGACAAACACATACATGCAAACGCATATATACATAAACACACGCACGCACACAACAATTATTTTTTCAAGAAAGTGATCAACTCTATCTTTCCTGGAATATGATTTTGTTCTTCACAAAACAACCTTAAACCAAATTTGAAATCCAATCCACCGACTCATGAATTATTTAGGTTAGGTTTCCCACATGTTACGTTTATCTTTTTCGCAATACACAAAACTACACATAAATGTCTTTTAATGATATGTTTTTCCAGTTACCCCAAAAAGACACTGGTCTTTATAATGCATCAATGGGGTCTTAACAAATGACGTCAACACTGACCACATTTTCTCTTATTATATTATATTATATTATATTATATTATATTATATTATATTATATTATTCATTATACATATATGTTATATATCTTTTCACCTGTGATAACTGTTTATTAATATGAACATACCTATACAGAGGGAAGCGTTATAGGAGCCTACATCATTGGTGGTCATCTGTCCAGGACAAGGGACACACTCTAACTGCCCCTCCTGGTCCTGGTAGCTGGATACTGGACACTCCACACAGTCTGACCGCTGTACGTCATAGTATGTACCCACCGGACACTGGACTGGGAGAGGGAAAGAGAAAGTGTGTGGAACTTATAATGTATATAGCACCTTTTCTCTCTCTGTGTGTGTGTGTGTGTGTGTGTGAGAGAGAGAGAGAGAGAGAGAGAGAGAGAGAGCGGGAAAGCGTATTGTACCACCTTCATATTTTTTAAAATATTAAAATAAATTAAAATTCAAGAAACTAAATGACCATAAATGTATATCATAACTTGCAAACGTGTGAACTGTATTCAATTTCTTTTTGTACACAGCTAAAATAATTTCTCTTTTTGTTTATTAATTGTGTGAAGTGATCCATTTCGAAATAAGCTTATACAACCAAATTTACCCCTTTAACTTTTATCTTTTTTGATTGAATGGCTCAAAAATACTTCGTTCAATATACAAAGTGGCCAATACATTGCATACATTTCTAATAAAATATTATTTCTAATAAAAAGAAGAAAGTGGTATAGAAACTCACCACAGTATGTGTCCCTTATCACGGCCCCAGGGCGACATTTAAGGGTTGGCGACACTACTGACCTCTTGGGATCTGCTGTCAAACTAGTGCCACTGATGTTCAACGTCAGATTGCCGGACTCCACAAACTCTTGAACAGAACTCGACAGGAGATTCAATTTTTCCTTCAGGGACGACACGTCTGTATCGTTGCTCATTTCGCTTGTCGCATTAGTAAGGATGACAAAATCGACGCTAACGCTGCTTCTTGTTCTAGACGTTGTCTCTCTCTTTCGTCGTCGTCTAAAGTCAAAATCTCCCGGAAAATCCGGGAAACCGGATCCAGTGGCAGTATTACACACAACCGTCACTGATGAGACTTCGCAAGCCCCGTCGTCACAAAGGCCAGCTTGCGCAAAAATACTAAGCTCCAAGAGACTCTGAAAGTCCGCCCTTATTTCAGCAGTGGCAGCCGCCGACACGCAGTCTCCCTCGTACTCATGGAACTGTATACGACCGTTGACCTCTCCAGAGTTGGGAAAAAACCGCGGTGCACAGGTGAACGGCAAGAAAGGCAAAGGCGGTAGCCACTGTCCACTATCTATACCACAAGTGTACGCAGGTTGAGGGAAGGCAAACGGCGGAAATTCGTATTGGTCATTGCAGTGCAAAGTGCAGAGAGTAGTGAACTTGATGGTGCTGCAGGCCTTGGCGCCATGTATCGGAGGTTGTATGTCGGGGCATCGGCGCGCTGAGGAAGCGAAAATGTGCAGGGCTCGTTATATTAATGATACAGATGCTTATCACTGTATAATATTACTGCAACTTTTTTACGATGAGCATCTGACGTCAGTTTACAATGCATACAGTAATATTATATTAGTACTGTGCATAATAAAACAGTTAAGTACCGGTACTTCCAAGTGGCATTCAATCTAAAAGTCTTCTATAACAGTGTAAATAACTGATGGTTAATTTTGATATATGAAGAATGTTGAACTTTTAATAAACATACAACCAATCATTTTCATATTAACAAAGGATGGAAAAGTATCATTCAAATGAAATATAACATAGAAATGTCCATTTACTAAAATATCCTACCTACAACAGCGATGCCCATAACACACTTCCCAGTGTTCCCCGCGGCATCACGTGCTGTGCACGTGACCTCGAACCTGCCGAGCGGAAATGACCCCCATTCACGGTCACAGGATGACGTAATCACGCCAACGTTATCTTCAAACACTGGTCTCTCAAACTGAACATTTGTCTCACTGCCTCTGGCTTCAAAAATTTGGTTATCTGGACACGCTAGGGGGTGCGGGGCTTCTTGGTCTGTATAAAAAATAGCATGTTCTAAAAATAATGTTTAATGCATATGCGAATGTCATACTTGATATCAGTGGACAATAATGGCTATCAATAAGCAAGGAAATCGTATCTCAATGTAAACGTAGCAACCTAAACTACATTAAAATATTAGATACACAGTTGTAATTTATTAAAAAAGAGGAAAATGGCATTACTTTCTTAAGTTAGATTCAGTAACGCATATTACTAGAATCTTAAGTTTTTAAATTCATTTAGATTATAGGAATTCATTCGGTTCACCTTTTACAGTGATTGTGAAGGAGCAGGTTGACGTCAGTCCATACGAGTCTGTGGCCGTGTAGGTTATTCTATGACTGCCCACGCCTAACCTCACAGTGTCCGATACCACGAACAAAGGAGTGACCGTCAGGGATAATTGCCTGCCTGAAATGGAAAACGGTACGAGTCTAAGATGAACAACTGTCATACACTGCAAATCAATTTGCCTAATATGCTTTAAACTATATGGCTCTTTTTATGGGTACCTTAGTTCATGATACTGTAGTTGCTTTTATATATAACAGCATTTTCAGCATGCTTTAAATCACGAACAGCTGCATCATAAGCAAGTACATCACTGTAGTGGTAGTAAGGTACTTTTAGCAATTATTTCTCTTACAATTATACATTTGTTGCGGGAACCGAGGTATTTGTAAATAAACATTTCCATTTGTTCCCAAAAATGCAATGTACCTCTATCTTAACCACTGTTAATCCATTACAGGGCATATTTGTAAATATGAGCATGTACAAAATATTTTTTTCAATAAATAATAAATAAACAACATAAAAATGCGGTGCTTGTATTAATCTTTGGCATCCATGTTGTTACATTACCTTTACTGTCAAAAGCACGTGGCACGCCCCACGTGACCTCTGTGTAGTCTTTATTGACGTACGTGGAGACGATGGTGTTTCTAGGACAGGTATCTTTAAAGTCTGGGGGTGGGATAGCTGTCAAAAACAAAACACATCTATTTAAATCAAACTAATCTCCTACCCTTCAAATAGTGGGTTATAGAACCACCATGTTACTAGGATAGGTCTTTTTATACATGGCACAGCAAAACCCAGCTATTTGGAATAGGCTGCGTACTTTAAATACAGCCAGTGTTGACCAATAACTGTTTCGCTTTGAGATAAATGCTTGAAACTTAGCCAGGTTGCTTAAAATAGTAATATTACTATTTTTTGATGTGAAACTAGTAGCTGCTTTTTCTCTTAGCTCAAGTGATTATTGCCCCAAAATGGCTACTTAATGAATATCTGACCACGTCATTTAATATGATTTAATATTTCTTCTTCCTCTTCTTATTGGTATTGACTTTAATATCACCACGCTTTACCTTCACATTCCGTCACTCCTGTTGGATTAGACCAGGCGCCGTCCGATCCACAGGTGAAACTCCGAGGTCCCTTCAGCAGGTACCCTAGCTCACACGTGACGTCACACTGGGTGGCATAGAATACGGAAGATGACGTGCATAACGACGGTGACGTCACTGCGTTTGGCACAGCGGATAATTTGGGGCAAGTGATCGCTGAAATCGAAGAAAGTTTTAGTTGAAGATAACATTTTGACTGACATGTTGCACTTGTCATGGGTGATAAAACAAACGAAACCAAAAGAGAACAAGAATAAATCTCAGACCAGGTAGCCAAAAATACGCACGAAAAGAACAAACTTTATACGTGAGGAAGATGGACAGACATCATGGCACATTGGCAGACAAATTAATTCTGGAATGGTTCTTTGAGGTCAACCATATACTATAAAAATGTCAAAGTAAATCTTATTCCAAACTGAATAGAACAAAAATAGACACTGACGCTTCTTTTGCGCATTCTTAATGCAATTCGTCCATTCGCATATAACATTGAACAGATACATGTATTATGAAAAAAATTACGTACATAAAACATTTGTGAACTGACTGGATTGGAAAACATTTTAAAGACACTTTTAATTTAATCTTATTGAATATTGAGCAAGTTTGAACACACAAAAGCTATATTAGTCTTACCGGCACAAGAAACCGATCCCACCCAGTTACCCCCCCTGCCACATGTCAACGTGGCGTTGCCTTGGAGACGGTAGCCATCTTGGCATCGGTAAGTCACCACGGAGCCAAATTTGAAGCTGCACGTGGTTGAGTCTAACACAGCACCTGCTATGTCAGGGGGTGGCTGACACGACGGAGCTGAACGACAGAAACATAAGCTATAATAATACAAGTACAATTTACACAGTGTAGTAAGTTAACAAATAAATAAGAGGCTTACTACATCACTTTGGGAACCCCAATTGCTATTCTACTGTTGATGACTGCCAAACAATAAGCAGGTCGTTATTTAAACTTATTGTTAAAAAAACACGATTTTGGTTAAGATTTCCAGATCATACATAATAAAAGCTCTCGTCTTCTAGTTTATACATGTAAAGCGAAACTCGGTAGAACCTTTCACTATTTGTGCCCCCTCCCCATTAGAACCCCCATTTGTAGAACTCGCACTTACATCGGACTCTCAAAGAAAATCGACATTGTTTCTGGAGATTGGCGGCGTCCAGGGCAGTGTATACCAGAGGGTAGTCTCCCGGGGTTAACACAGAGGGAGAGGTGTAGGTCGGTTTGCTGAGGGTCAGCTGTCCGGAGTTATCCGTGGCCACTGGCTCTGACCACGACACGGACGCTCTGTCCCCACAGGGAGGGGTGAAGAAATGGAGGTCACTCTCTGGACACGTGTCCCCAAAATCAGGAGGGGTTACGTCTGGAATAAACCATATTCTTTTGTCGTGAAGTAATCAGTTTAGAGACTATAGTGACTTAACATTTGTGGCGTAAACATTCACCCAAAAGAACTGTATTAATATATATTTACAAAAAGAAAAAACGAATGAAAATGCGTTTGTACAGTCCAAATAAAATAAGTCCGTTATATCGTCATGTTTTGATACAAATGAATTGCAGTTGTACATCACAAGTTATAGATGGGATATATCTTATAATCAATATTCCACACAGTCGTTAATTCTACCTGTGCAGACGACAGTCTGGTCTTGAGCTGTCCACGTGTTGAATTCCGTGCACCTGTGACTGCTGACACCTGTCAGTTGGTACCCCTCGTGACACTGGTATTGGCACTGGTCGCCATATTCTCCCTGGACCAGACAAGAGGCAGGGCTCACGGCGCCGCCAGGTGGCGCTGTTAACGCAGGACATTTAGGTGCTGGAAAAGTGAAAGTGATGTTTAAAATTTCTCCCTCTTACGTCCTCAATCTATTCTTCTCAGCCTCTCATTCTCGCTCTTTTTCCCTATCCCCTCTTTTCTTCCACCACTTTCGCTCCCTCCCTACAATTTTTTACTCATTCTATACTTCATTCCCAATTACTCTTTCTCTTTCTCCTCACTGCTTAATAACCCCTCTCTTTTCTCTCCTCACCCTCGCTCCGTCCCTAACCATTTTTCTCTCACTCCATCTCTTTAGTCCTTCTATCCTCTCTTCCACTCCTCTCTCTTTTTCTCTCTCTCGTTTTCTCCCTCCCTGGGTCATTCTTCTCTCTCCACTCTCTTCGCCTCCCTCTCTCCCTTTTCCCCCTAAATATTCCCTCTACATTCAATACTAGCAACAAAACCATCACCAATTCCGAAACAAACACATTAGAATGGCGCGGTGTTTACTTCATCCACTCACCTATACACTGAAAGGTCGTGTTCTCCCACTGCCCCGTGGGTAGACAGCGAATAGTGGGGGTGGTATCATTCTCACTCCTCTGGTAGACAATATCACACCCCAACTCACACACTGTACCAACTGGCAGTTCTCTATCCGTGTCACACCGCTGGTAGATGTAACCCCGGCTAGTGTCCAGAACTGGACAAGTCACCGCTAGAAGAGGATTTCTTAAGGTCACGTCCCATATCTTACACAACAATAATTTTTTCCCCAAAAAGCAAAACGTTGTACTGGCGCTTTCTTCTAAACAACAGCCGAAGTCGAAACTACTTTTTGAGCGTATTATATATCACAGCTGACGAAATTTCTTACAAGAAAATCAGCTTATGCCCCTAAAACAATGCAAGGTATTTTATGCTTCTTATCAATCTTAATATAGAAATAACCCTTTACGTATGACATCAAATTGTGATTACCTTGACCCTCTCTGCAATAATTCATTTTTATCCAAACAATTTGATAAATAATTTTATTGTATGTTTAATAAATCTTGCTAATCGACTAACTTTCTCCTTGCTATTAACAGTCAGATCGAGATATGCCTGGGCATGATACAAATAATGATTGGAAGTAAATCAACGGAGGTTTTGTAGGATTACCTTTACACACGGGGTTACCGTCCCAGTGAGTGTTCCCCTCAAAGTAAACACAACGCAAGGTGCCCGTGTTATTCCTAGGTACCATATACCCTGTGTCACACGTTACAGTACACACGCTGCCGTGGATCAAAGAGCACCCTGCGGCTATGGCTCCGTGTGGGGGAGGCGGAGGGGACGGGCAACGTGGAACTGAAATAGGCGTGGGAAAACAGGGAGAATGTTTTCATTTCAGGAGATTCGTTTAATTGTTGTTAACTTTCATTACAAGATTAAATAAAACAGATAATACACGGTCAAGGGTTTGTTGTTAGTAAATTGTAATAAAAAGAACAGGGTTTTCTCTTTTGAGTGAAATTAAAAAGTAATTAAAAATTTGTGCGGTTACTTTTTATCTACCCGTCTGTAATTTGTGGCTTTCAGAATTCAGATTTAAGAATCGTAATACAAGGAATTTCTGAACCGTCACTTTAAGCCCTGCATTCAATGTTCATAATATGACAAGATTCATTAAAAAACTTCAGTTGTAGAGATGGACTCTCTAAAATTTCACTTGACATGATTAAAGGAGAAATTAAACACACATAAACGTGATCAAAATCGTCATTTTCTCAACAGAATCGTGTTACATATACCTTGCAGATTCAGAAAAATGTATTGATCTTTGGGGGCGATAAAAAAATATCAAGGTCGACCACAGCAATTGAATTAATCTTTCTTAACGCACAATACATTCACAAACATTTTACCTGGCCAAATCTTTCGAAAGAATCATTATATATGAAACGTCAGTTTTTTAAATTCCAAGTTAACCACAAAAGCGCCGTACCTGTCACGGTCACTGCAAACACACAAAGCGCTGAATTCCCGCTGTTGTCAGTGGCATTAATTTCAACCTGGTGATCGCCTTCAGAGTACGTGTCCTGTTTACCCTGGAGTAGAAAAAAATCCATGACTAAATAGTTCAAAGAATGTCTCTGACAAGGAAGTTCAAGGCACAATTAACCCAGACATATCCCTTTCATGCTTGGCCTTGGGAGTCTGTTAAACTGAATTGGAGAAATACATCTGCATTGTTATTTACTTAGTTGAAAAACATTTGACAACAAAGAATTTGGGACCTGCACCGATGGAAGACAGTTCTACACCAATAGTTATTTAGTTGAAAGACGCAAGTCAGGGAAGTTTATTTGTACGCAACATTAATACCTTATGAGTACATGAATAAATGAATCAGCACGTGACCTGAATAATTTACCTTGTAAGACACAGATGGGAGGATGTTAGAGTTATCCACGGCTTCTATGTGAATTGATGTCCAATTTACCGCCTTTCTACTGGTCCCTGTGTCTGAGATATAGACCAAAGGGTTCTGAGGGCATGTTCCGTTGAAACTTGGCTTTTGGGTATCTGGAATAACATTGCTGATTTAGCAAATATTTAATAGTGGAACGCATTTCTTATTCACCTTAGTATTCGTTGGAATGTATTTTAAATCAAATGTTCATTTTGGCGCGATGGAAAAAGCTTAGTTGGGGGTACCAACCATTCTGAAAATAAAATAAAAAGTGTCTTGGGCTCCCCTTAGAACCCTCTGCTTCTAGCATAAACCCGACGTGGTAGAAAACTTGGGGATAGGCATACGTAATTTATTTAGGAATAATTTATTGTTTTATAATTTAAAGCTTATGGTCAATTTTCTTTTAAAACATTCTTTGTAGAACTTCAACCTTAGGGTTGCAATTTTACCTAATAAATTATTATTATTATTATTATTATTATTATTATTATTATTATAATGACGCCTATGGAACTCTATTTAGGCGTGTTGGAAGTAAATATTAGTTGAGGTGCTGGGCATTTACAAAATAAGAAAGAAAGGATTGTCGGGGTCTTCCCTGCTTCTAGCGTAAAACCTGACGTGGTTAAATTTGGGGGCAAGCATACATTATAGTGCCTTTGTCACTTATCAATATTGTTCATCAGCGTACTGTGCTGTACGGAATCGTAGATATTGTGCCAAATGTGCTTGTAATGAATATATTTACGAGTTCTTTAAACAAAGACAGGGGCAGTATTATCCTTAGTTAGTTTGCGGGAGATGAGAGCGGGTTCAGGGAAATAACCATGTTTTCATATCCCGGATCCGCAAGTGCAAACTCATTATGACGAACAGAATTTGATTTACTCATCGCTTACATAAAGGCTGAGGAATTTTTTAGATGTGTGCAGACAAATGAAACGACTTAATTACAGTGACTGTTTTATATCCTGTTGTTTTAGTTTTAAAACGTGACTTTACATTTATTGAAATGTTCACCGGCATTATTCAACGGGGTTCTTTTAGTACAATATAACGTTTTGTTCGCTTTGAAGAAGTTGTCGAAGGAAATTCCCATTTCTTAAAATTCCGTATCCGCAAGTGGAGTATGGGAATATTTCTCTTTGACTGCAAACATTTTGAAATGGTTTAATTGGGCTGACGACTTTGCATCCTGTTATTTTCTTCAATAGTGTGACATTTTTGGCAGGGCCATAGACAGTAGTCGAGTCGTGTTTGTCGAAATGACTTTCCTGTAAATTTCCTCCAAAAATAAACTTCTTTTGTCATGCAGTTTTTGATCGTTTTCTCGGAAGGGAAGTGAAGTTATTGATATCCGTGGAGCGTGTAAGAAGGGCATCTAGGGCTCGGTGGCAGGGGTGTATCATTTCAAGGTCACTTGGATATTATCTGTATTTTAAGATATATACTTAACCAGCTGAACAGAAGCTGGGATAATGCATTAAGCTGAAATGTTCCGTTAGATTAGAAATCATAATCCCCAATGTGTATTAAAAATGACACAGTTTTAAAAAATGAAATAACATTATAGATTACCAGTAAAGTAATCTAAGACTCACTTTTTATTCAATTTTTATTTGTATCAAGTACCTTTGCAAGTCCCCAAGTCTGCGTTCCACTGCGCAGACGCCAAACACGAAACTGTCGTCTGCCCAGACACCACGTATCCCGAAGGACAGCTTAAACTGCATACGTCATTGAAAACTGTGTAGTTCGTGCAGAGGGGCGGAGTCAAGGTGCCATTCACAGGTGGACTGAGTGGTGGACATTGAACAACTGAAATTTTAATTTTTAAAAAATAAATAATATTAACACTAAAGTATATGAAAATAGTTAATAGAAAGTGTTTTACCAGACGTGATTTGAGAATTCCGTGATTAACGATGAGTAATTTATTACATGGAACATGCGTTGACTTATACAGTAGTAGGCACAATTGTCATCATGGACATGACATAAACAAAATAAAAAAAGATCAGTAAAGTTTTATAGGCCTCTATACATGTTCAAGGGTTGACACGATTTTCACTGGAGTGATAAGGAATAATAAAGAATGACTTAAGTAGGTTTCACTTTATCAAACTTATATAGCTCACCTTCGCATGAGAGAGATGCATCCCAGGTTCCATTGGCTAAACAAGTGGTTGTCACGGCAACAGTGGGGCGATACCCAGTATCACATGACAGCTGACACGTGGTACCGTAATTCCTGCTATCTACGTCACAGTTACTGGACACGTGGTCAGGTAGTGACATCACTGGGCATTTTACGACTATAAATAGATTGCGTTTTAAGAATAGTTTTATGAATATATAAATAGTGACGAACAACATGTTTTTTTTCACTATTCATATATTGAAGTAACTTTTTATTCATTCCTCATTTGACTTATAACTTTTATCAAAACTCTGACTTTGCCCATGGACAATCACAGAATGTTCTGGATTTACATTCTTTTCTTTTAATCTGTCTCTCTAAAAACGCCAATATTTTTCTTTTGATATGCTGCAGTATTACAAACAGACTTACTTTCACATGTTGGCTGGGTATCTGACCAAGTTCCGCTCTCCAAGCAGGTAATCTCAGACTGTCCAGTCAGCGTATACCCCGTGTTACATTGGAAAGAACAGACAGAGTTCTCGTAGGGACTGCAGTGCCTTACCAGGGTCAATTGGTCAGTCAGGGTCACGTCTGGACATCTGGCCACTTTGTACCGGTAAAAGAAAAAGTTTACCGCTAATGGAAGAATCCTGGAGCATGGCTTAAATGCCGATAACACAAACGCTTATAGACCTTGATATTTGTTGTAGTAAAATAATCAAAATATTTGTTTATCATAATGGCTGAAGTTAACAAATATTTCCCAAAGAAAAACGTATCTATTATTAAATACAACGCACCCCCTTCACAAGTCCTGTCGTCTGCCTGAAGCCCCTTCCCCTCAGGACATTGACACGCCATTCCAGTCGGTAGAGGCAGGCATAGGTTGCTACAGCCACCGTTATTTACCGAGCAGGCGTTGCTACCTAGAAAATTATGATAGTGGAATATATTTGAATTATACTGAAATCATAAAAGAACAGTAGAGGAGAGTAAAATATTAATAAAAAATAAAATAATGCAAAAACCTGAAAATGTACTTATTTATTGAAACGCCAAATTATATTTTTTTTTGCTTTAAAGCGGCGTAGATAAATATGATCTGTCCTGTCATTAGGACTCCAATTCAAAATCATATTTCTTAAAAATTACCAACTGCAGAATGACTAAATAACTATTTAATATTTTACGTGTACATTAAATACATCAAACAGTCTCTTAGAATTTGGTTTACCTGGACCTTTTGGTCCTGTCTTCAATACGGCAACCCCCGACGGTCGTTTGAGCCCAACTGGTCCAAGTTCCAGGAAGCCATCATCTATGGCGGCCATGTTGGATGAACCAATTGACCTCGAATACCAATCCGTCCACCATAGTCGGCCGCCGTGGGTCACCAAGCCGAATGGATGACCTACATATCTAGTGTGGCATGGAGTTAATATTTTAATATTAAATTTAATATTAAGATATCAATCACTGATACATATAAACCGATATTAAAATATAAAAAATAGGAAAATATGAAATAGGGAAGAAAAGATAGCTATTACAACGTCAATTAATATATATGTAGTTGATAAAAAAGTAAACATCGACCCACATTATCTGAACACATAGATTTGATCGAAATGCTTCACAGTGGAATTTGTTGTGGTCAGTAATTTTCTAAAACACTCTAAACATATTTTATTTTATTTAACCAAGAGTAGTTCTTACCTGGCTGATACGACTAATCTCCTCTCCAAACCATCGTAGTTACACACCTCGATCTTCCGGAGCCAGGCGTCCGCCCAGTACAGCCTCTGGGTCTCATAGTCTATGGTCAGTGCGTTCGGCCATACTATGTCCGTGTTGACGATGACCAGTCTGTCCGTGCCGTCCACTGCGGCACGCTCTATCTTGGCCGGCTTTGACCAGTCCGTCCAAAACATATACCTGTGTGTAAAGTTATTATTATTATTATTATTATTATTATTATTATTATTATTATTAGTTCACCACAACATGCAGTATCCAGTAGTGTAAACATGATTTTAATTTGTCTGTAAAATGGCTGCTATATCATAAACTGCATCAGTGTGCGTATAACGTGTTAAATGACGTTCAAGATAACATTGCTTTTGTTGATATGATACACCATTATACAACAATAAGGTCTGAAGTGGGATCATCGGACAAAGTTGAACTGTTTAAATCAACTCAGAAGAATACTTCAAAGTGGTAGAGTGATTTTACGTCCAACTTCTCGAATAATAAATTTGCCAGGTTTGGTGAGTGGCATGAAGGGGAAGAGTGTTAATGGTGTGACAGGAATAGTAGTCGGCTAGCGACAGTAGAGTTGGTAGTCGGCTAGCGACAGTAGAGTTGGTAGTCGGCTAGCGACAGTAGAGTTGGTAGTCGAGCTAGCGACAGTAGAGTTGGTAGTCGAGCTAGCGACAGTAGAGGTGGTAGTCGGCTAGCGACAGTAGAGTTGGTAGTCGAGCTAGCGACAGTAGAGGTGGTAGTCGGGCTAGCGACAGTAGAGTTGGTAGTCGAGCTAGCGACAGTAGAGGTGGTAGTCGGCTAGCGACAGTAGAGTTGGTAGTCGAGCTAGCGACAGTAGAGTTGGTAGTCGAGCTAGCGACAGTAGAGGTGGTAGTCTGCTAGCGACAGTAGAGGTTATGTTCCTATCCGTCGCTGGGCGGGTGTGTGTGATTTACTGTATTTACCAACTTCAAGTCGACCTGTTAACACTTACCCACTTCTCGGCTCCACGGCGATGGCTCTTGGCAGGTCGATATCGTCATATATCAGAGCCCTCTTTGAAGAGCCGTCCAGCCGACTAACCTCTATCCTCTTTAACCAGGGGTCAGTCCACAACAGGTTCCCGGACATCCAGTCGATAGCCAGACCGTCTAGAAACAAATCACAAGTAACAATTAGGATTAATTGTCTTAAAGGGATAACAATTTTTCATTGTGGACAAAAAAATGAATTTTCCTGGGATAAACAACAATTTCCCCATACTAACCAGTGGTTAATGAATCCATACTGCATTCAAATTTAGTCCCTGTTTTTTCTTTCTAGAAAGTTTTTTCTAATAGTCTACCCATTACCCATCTATGGAGGTCACGTGGTCCGATGGCAAGCACAGATTTCAGAATAATTGCTTTAACTGCCATTTGTTTGTGGAGAAATAGAATAAATTATATTTCTACAGTTGTTTACAATGTTTTTATTGTGAAATATAGATCTCACACGAAGAGTTGTTATCCCTTTAACTTTACAATTAGCCAGGAAGTGTGTAGACAAAATGTTTCCATCGACTGGCTCTGTCTGACTTATTCAGCCATTTGCCATATGGGAAGTGGTAGGCCTTGTTGTTATAAACCTAAACAATATATCGGCGGGGAGTGTGAGTGTTAAACATAAGACAAATAAATAAATAAATATGATAGAAAGTCAAATAACAATAAAAGAAAAAAATAATAAACAAGTAAAACAGATATTTCAAAAATAAAGAAACCAAAATATTAAATGGATACATAACATTGAAGAAAAGAATCAATAATTAGTGGCGATTATTTGTGGAACACAACCTATGGCTGATTATGATTTCTCAATGTTTAACATATAAAATATGAATGTCCCACCAACCTGGATTAACTGTGGAGTTAACTATGAGTTCTGGTTCACTGTCCCCGGGGTATTGAACCCTGTAGATACCGCTCTGTTCCACATTGCTCCAGTAGATGTAGCCACCGTAACTTTCCAATGCTAGCACTCCATTAGATACGTTCACTGGTAGCTCTGGTAAAGATGATAAAAAAAGATAAAAAATCAACTGATAAAACGAAAAGAATGATAAAATATACGCCGTTTCATTTTAGTCTGCCTGGTATATTTGGACACCAAAAGATAAAATGATAAAATATTGACAATTACTAGATCGGAGATACATGTATGTGTCATGCTTTGATTGTCACTTTTTGATAATACATATGAACATTATGGATTAAATTTTGATTGTTTGCTAATGACATAAACTATTAAATTATGATAGATTTCAATTTTAGTTGCTCAGTTTGGTTTCAATTTGATGTTGTATGCAGATGATTCCCAGACATATGTTATATGTGAAAATCCTTGTGATGAAAAAACAGCTATTGAGGCTTGTGTGAATGAACTTAGATCTTGGCTCAAGTCCAACTACTTAGTTTTTAATGATGAAAAAACTGAATTAGTCCATTTCAACTCTAAGTTTTCCAAAGACAATACTGCACTTGATAGTATTAAGGTTGGGGATTCTTTTATAAAACCAACAACAGAAGTAAGGAACTTGGGTGTTATTTTTAATAACAAATGTGAAATGACATCACACATCAACAAAGTATGTAAAACAGCATATTTTAGTCTCCAACGGATATCCAAGATCTGTCACCTTATTAACACCAAGCAAACTGAATTACTCATCCATGCATTTGTAACTTCTAGACTGGATTATTGCAATAGCCTATTGTTTGGAATACCTAACTATCAAATGGAAAAGCTACAATCAATTCAGAACTCTGCTGCTCGTCTCCTCTGTAAAGCTCAGAAGTCCGAACACATCACACCAATTCTGCGAAACCTCCACTGGCTACCCGTGTCTCAACGAATAGTTTTTAAAATATTACTTTTGACTTTTAAGATTTTAAAGGACGACTGTCCATTTTACTTAAACTCTACCATAGAACTTTTAACTCCTATCAGATCACTTCGATCTAGTGGACAACTTAACTTAAGCGAAAAGACACCAAAAAGACTCTTAAAACATATGGACACAGAAGTTTCGAGATTTGTGCACCGATTTTATGGTCTAATTTTATCACAAGATCTAATGTGTCTCTGGATGACTCATATTACTGTTTTAAGAAGAATTTAAAAACTTTTTTATTTAAAGAATACTTTAATTTATAGCATCTTCTTAGTTTTTAAAATTTTTAAGTTTTCTGTTTTAGTTTATACTGGCTTTAATTTATCTGTGGAGTTTTTATTTTTTATGTAAACAGCGCTGAGACGCATGTGTAGCGCGGTTTTAAAGAAGTGTTTTATTATTATTATTATTATTAATTATTCTATCACTGAAATGGGTAAATGAAATAAACTAACCACTGAATGCAGATGGAGTTGCTGTCGACATCTTGTACAGCTTGCCCAAGTCTGTGTCAGAAAATATCAGCAGTGGCTCGTCACCTGGAACAAGGCAATGATTATATGTTATTCTGTTAGAATTTAGCTAATTTAGTTGTGCTAGTATAGTTTCACTCTGTTAACCCAGAGGAAGTGTAAAGATGTCTAAATGTGCATAAGTCAATATTTTATATTTCTCGTTCAAAATAATCATCACTTTTAAAAAATTGGCATCTACAATTCATAACCGTATTGACCTCCAGAATTTTTACCATATCTGCTAGAGTAAATTTTATTTTATCTGTTGTCTTTTTGTTCCTTTTTTTTTCTTCATTTGTTGAAAGACATATTTTCTCTCACCTCCTGCACACCGGGTATCGTTGAGATACAGCCCCGCCCTGCAGGTACATTCCTCAGTGGCAGACGACACAATACAGACGCCACTACATGAAGTACTGGTCTGACAAACAGTTGCCTTGGTGGCTTGAATAAAAAAAAATTGATCCAATTTGTTGTATATCTAAAACCATTACATTTGTCTTTCCCTGTAGAAAAAAATACTGTGCTTTTCGTTTTTAGGTATTGGGCGAAATAAACAAATAAATTAATAAATAAATTAGTGAGAAAAATACATATAGATAAATCAATTTGAATAAAATGGCTTATCCAATTTAAGAAAATAAATTTTCACGACTTCATTTATTCCAGTGCCGTGCACTCCACACTTTCTTACCGTTTTCTCGGTCGTACTTCCCCAAAATAATCGGGGCCCCGACTGTGGAAAATGAACCAACCGTATTGCTGGTTCTATTGATAAAATGTATGACGTCATTTTCAATGTCAGCAGCTATGATGACGTCACTCGATACAGCTATGCCATAAAAGAAGCTCCCGGGTTTCTTGAGGATTTCAGAGCAACTGTTTCCATCATAAGAGCACTTTTTGATCACCCCAGTGGCACTGTCACTCCAGACCAACTTCTGCTCGTCTTGAAGAACAGCGACCCCTGTCGGGTTGATGACGTCATTGATGATGTCACGTCTGTCTCGTCCTGACAGGGAGGATCTGACTATAGCCGGGGAGGATCCTCTTTGGGACCAAAATAAGTACCTTTAAGATAAAATATAAATTAATGAGTTTCAAAAAGATAACGAATAAACAATATTATATCATAAGGGTACATTTAGTGATCAACGCTGTCATAAGGAATAATGACAGATATTATTGTCCTCGCTATAGATTAATATTTTAAATGTAATTATTTATTCAATTTTATTTTCAGATGCGTCTCTTCATTTCCTTAATTTTGAAATTCTGAATTTCCTTTTTTATACATTTGTTCATGCATTCATTCAACCATTCATCAATCCATTCATCCATTCAATATTTCATTCATTCATTTATTCATCCATCTATTCATTTTCTACTTAATTGTTTAGATAAGGAAAACCATTTATTTAAATAAATGATTCATTTTAAGCTTTAAATTTATGAATTTCCTTTCTTATACATTTGTTCGTGCATGAATTCATTCAACCATTCATCCATTCATTCATTCATCCATCTATTCATATTCTACTTAATTGTTTAGATAATTAAAAAATAACATTTATTTTGAAAAACAATTTCTTAAAATAACTGATTCATTTTTAGCTAAAAATTATAACTTTAATTCATACATTTACTTTTTTCAGACCAGTTGGACAATTTATCAATAAACAAAACAACTGGTACAGCGTTCTACAGGGCGTTCTGCTTTGTACACGAGTTAGGGGGGAGACAACGAAAACTAAGTCCACATTCAGACCTTACTAGAAGAAGAAATCAGACTGATGTAAGACCTGAAAAATTAATGCTAAGATTCCTTACTTATACCATAGCTTGCAAATTATTTCATTGCGGCAGGAAGGGGGGGGGGCAGGGGCGGATCCAGGATTATTTGAAGGGGGGGGGGTCTGCTGGTGCTAAGCCGTATTAGCAATGGTTACACGTTCACTCCAGATGGATATTATCAGCAGCTGATTTTCCAGTTGTTTCGTTGGCTATTATGTACAATATAACCATTATAACTCACATACCCTCTTTCAAAGTCCACCGTTATGTCCGGGGGTGAGTGACCGTAGTCCGGTCTGTTAATGTCTATAACGCCACTCTGCTGCGTCTGTGTGTCCGTCACTTTAATGCGACCATTTCGAATGTCCACGCTGTACCTTAAACCAGCGTTTGTCACGCCACCATAGCATTTAGACACAGCGTCGTTGCTTTGTAAACTTGTGCACTGCTGTACAAGAAGCTCCTCGTAATTTGTTGAAGTATCAAGTCTATTAAAGGCAGCATCTTCCCGGCAGCCTTCTATGAATAACTGGGAATCCACAACGGTGAAGTTACAAACGTGTGTTGTATTGGAATAAAAATACAGCGCCTCTACGCGAACAATATTAAGGAAAAAAAGAATAAGGAACTTCGAGGTCGCCATGATGAAATGAACATGAAAGTTAAACTACCGCGGAGTAATACGCCGGCGTTAATAACACATAGGTACAGCTGAACTGATTGAAGCTGTTTACGTGTTATTATTATCTCGCTATAGTGCTTGGCAAACTTCGTTATTAGGTGTGACAGACATTCTTATCAGCTGACTAGGGCTTAAAGCTATGGTGTTTCATAGTACGTATCGCTTTCATACTAGAATTAATGTTACAAGATGAAAGTTTGGGAAAATTTCTAATTATCTCACTTCCAAGAAATGCCCAAACAGGCGGAGTTCCGTTATCAGTATTGTTCATTGTGTTGATGCCAGTAATAATACAAAGGGCGGGATATTTTGTGAATAACCTCCAGGGACAAGGTTTCATGCGGCAGCACATTGGTATGCGAACCCGGACCTTGCCAAGCGCCATCGTAAAGGCAGACATAGAGGAGTGTTGATGAAGTGTAACCCTTGACGCACCTGCTTACACGTGCCACTCAAATTTATTATCCCGGATTTTAGGCCGATGATAACAGTTTACATATCCTCAGGTAACTGATAAGTCCTTGTAGTGAATAAACATTGTATCAAGAGTATACAAATTACTAACTTATAAATTCATGATGATGTCATTTAAGGGCTTTTAACCGCCGGCCTTGAGTGTTAGTAATAATAGATTAGAGATACATGTCAGAAAAGTAGTCCCGACATTTAATGTGTTGCAGACGATACACAGAGGTAAACCGTGAAAATGGCTGCGACCAGTTGGGGAGTGTTGTTGGCTATTCTGCTTCAGCAACTGGCCGAAGTCCACACTTTGACAGGGTACGTAGACTTGTTTTCGCTTTCTTTCCATTTAATTAAAGTAATTATTTAGTCATACTAGTGTGAAATCATTGTGGATCTCAATACTGGTGGATCTAGAGTTGGTATAGGATACGGGTACATTGGAGAGATGGAGATCAAGGATAGAATACGTATTTTTATTTACCTGCGAAAAATAGTAATGATAAAAATAAACGCTTATTGTTTATGGGACACGTTCCTCCCCCCCCTCCCCTCTGGATCTGTCTCTGATCACAACTTCCAGGGCACCCTGTGTTACCTGTAACTGGAGATAGCGGAGGGGTACTGATTATGTACAGATGAATTAACAGTGAACTTAGGGTGCCCCCGAAGTGACGATACTTTCCAAATGACTATTAATCAATATTGTTTAATGTATAAATTCTCTTTTATTAATTTTTTTAGAATGAGTGAACTCTGCCCTGTGTCAATGAATGCAAGAAATTTGCCTCGTATCTTCTAAGGCATGAACTTTGCCTAGTATCAATTAATGCAAGAAATTTGCCTCGTATCTTCTAAGGCATGAACTTTGCCTAGTATCAATTAATGCAAGAAATTTGCCTCGTCTCTTCTAACGCATGAACTATGCCTAGTATCAATTAATGCAAAAAAATTTGCCTCGTATCTTCTAAGGCATGCTTTGCCTAGAATCAATTAATGCATGAACTCTGCCCCATTTCTTAATTTCTTTAATTTGATTCGAGTATCAATTAATGCATGCACTCTGCCCCATATTAATTTATGCATGAACTCTGCCTTGTATCAACTAAAACATGAAATTTATCCTTATTTCTTATGAAATAACTGTCCTGTATAACAAATGCATGATATCTGTCCTGCATTTATTAATGCATGAATTTTGCCCCGTATAAATTAATGCATGAACTTGTCCCGAATTGATTAATGCATGAACTCCATCCCGTATTTATCAATGCAAAAAATATATCCCATTTTAGACCACACGTGTGTACTCAACAGCAAAGTAGATCGGTGACGGTTTATCAACAAACGAGCAGACAGCAATATCAACGATACACAACAAGTTGTGGCCTTTTCGGTTGGAGCCGTTGTACGCGGTATAGGTACGTGGTGTTTTACTTTAAGTGTGAATAAATGTATGACTATTTGTTGTGACATTTTACAGACATGTTTGCACAGAAAAAAGAAGTAGATCAGTTATGATCTACACCTCAGCGTCTCGGCAGCAGTACCAAAGGTATTCCACTAAGTGCGGGTTTGGAGGGTGGAAGCGGTGCACCAGATACAGGTAGACGATGGGGGGCTTCTAGATCCCTCTTTTTCTTCTTTTTGTCTTTTCTTTCTAATCTAGACTTAAGTGATTAAAATAAAAATGTTCTTCTAACTTTAATTTATAACAATTTCTTTTTTTTTTTCGTAATTCAACATATTAACAATTCTTTGCTTATTTATCTTTTTTCTACGATTATAACTCCCATCGAAGATTGCATATAGTAATCCATAGAAGCTCTACTTCTATGATTAATCAGGGTGTAGTTCAAGTAGGCGGTAGGCAGAGTCCTTTTGTTTATACTACAGTCCTTTTATTAGCTTAATAATCAGCTCACGTGGCAAATAAAGAAGAAGTCATGAGGTTTCCAAATAATGCCACTAGATGCAGCAAACAAGTGTAAAGTATGCCGCATAACCACAAGGTTCTGTCTTATAGTCTTTGGAGCCAATCTGGTAGATTTACCTTTCTCTTTCTATCCTGGACTATACTTTCTTGAAAACCATTCTAATTCTGAGAGAAGAGTTTCATTAGCTCTGTATGTATCAATTTAAATTATTGTTTTTCTTTTTATCAAGAGCTTATGAAATATGTAGGTTTTACCTCCAATATTTCTGTGACTGTCAGTTACTGGAGGTAAAACCTACATATTTTATAAGCTCTTGATAAAAAGAAAAACAATAATTTAAACATTCTAATTCTATTTCATCAATTTATATGAATGGTAAATTCAATGGCGTTGGTGTTTGATATATTTATGTTCACACAGGGCTCGGAGTAGGTGGGGGTTCCCAAGTTTTATCAATCACGGCAGAAATAAGTGCAAGATAAAGGTTACGAGGTAACCCCTGATCGCTGTTTATATTCACTCAAGGGTTGTTCCCTTCTTAGAATTAGTTTCCTTTGTGCCTGGTTAAACATTAACAAAGTGGTTATAAAAGCATAAACTGTCTGCTGAATGGCGTTCGTAGATACCGTCAATTGCGTTAGTTGCGATGTGCACAACCAGCCCCAAATGCATCGGGGGTCAATGAGGTAATTTTCCCAGATACTGAATTTCACATCAAAATTATCTGTTAGCCATATGGCATATACTTTGCAAATTATATATGTCTATTATATATGTATGTTCTTAATTCAAGTCCATCTGCACAGATATTATATGCCCAGTTATTATTACAGAAAAGTCCCATTATTCTAAAAAATGTTGCTGTATTCAAATTATTGGTGCATGTACAAACTTTCTATGCTGCCATAATGATAAGAGTGTGTGGGTGACCTATGAGACTAAGTTTCTAAACGTTTAATTACTTTCGTAATGGGGATGGAGACCGGTGAACTATGCCAGTAAGTAATAGGAATTACGAAAAAGAGTGTGTAGATCGTAATTGTCTCAGCAGTTCTGGAGATGGTGATAAAGGGGAAATTACTGAAATTTACAATATTTTTCACTTATTAAATATCTGTGGGGGAAATGACATCCCGTACAATTTGACATTTTCAGACCCATTACAGCTTATTACTCCCGGCCAGTGTACCAAACACAATATTACCAGACTCAAGTCTGCTGCTCTGGCTGGAAACAAACCGGAACAACCTGTAACACACGTAAGTGACCTACATATGGAATACAAACAATGTTTTTCTTTTATTTCAATTAATTAGTTTATCTATTTATTTATTTCATCCCAATCTGATAAAAGATAATTTGAATAAATGTTAAGTTTGGCTTAATTCTGGTTCATTTTCCTTGACTTGTATTCATTTCTATTCTATACAAGCAATCTGTAGTCGTGGATGTGTCCAGGGTTCTTGTACCGCCCCCAATGTGTGCACCTGTACAAGCGGTTACAGCGGAGCACGGTGTGATACCGGTAAGTAGACGTAGTAGTAGTAGTAGTAGTAGTAGAAGAAGTACACTGTAGTAGTAGTAGTACAGTGTACTACTACTACTACAGTGTACACTGTAGTAGTAGTAGTACACTGTAGTAGTAGTAGTAGAAGTACACTGTAGTAGTAGTAGTAGTAGTAGTAGTAGTAGTACACTGTAGTAGTAGTAGAAGTACACTGTAGTAGTAGTAGTAGTAGTAGTAGTAGTAGTAGTAGTAGTAGTAGAAGTACACTGTAGTAGTAGTAGTAGTAGTAGTAGTAGTAGTAGTAGTACACTGTAGTAGTAGTAGTAGTAGTAGTTGTAGTAGTAGTAGAACACTGTAGTATTAGTAGTAGTACATTGTAGTAGTAGTAGTAGTAGTAGTAGTAGTAGTAGAAGTACACTTTAGTAGTAGTAGTAGTAGTAGTACACTGTAGTAGTATTAGTAGTACACTGTAGTAGTAGTAGTAGTAGTAGTAGTAGTAGTAGTAGTAGAGTACACTGTAGTAGTAGTAGTAGTAGTAGTACACTGTAGTAGTAGAAGTACACTGTAGTAGCAGTAGTAGTAGTAGTACACTGTAGTAGTAGTACATGTAGTAGTAGTAGTTGTAGAAGTAGCAGTAGTAGTAGTAGTACATGTAGTAGTAGTAGTAGTAGTAGTAGTAGTACATTGTAGTATTTTTAGTAGTAGTAGTAGAAGAAGAATAAATACTAGTTGTAATTACTTAATTTTCTTAGCAAAAGTAGTGGTTTTTATTTCAAATTATCATGTCATGCATTCGATAGAATGCAGAGACTGTTTGTGCATTAATATATATGTGCATTTGTTGTCTTATACTTTGTTGTAGATATCAACGAATGTACGGGCTCCCATGGCTGTCAACACAACTGTGTGAATACTGCAGGAAGTTACAGGTGCACGTGTAGAACTGGCTATGTATTGTATGGCACTAAAAACTGTACCGGTGAGTTTTACTATGGGGAAAAGTACAGATATATCAATGATTGTCTATATTATTATTTATTATTATTATTTTGAAAAGCTGACAGTAGGGAGAACATCCTTATATCAAAGGCAAATATCTTGGTATGACACCGTTCTATTGATAAGCAAAACATATACATGTAATCTAATGATGAACACCATAAAGGCAAGATTTAGGCCTTAACCATACCGGCTCTTGGTAATTTTCCATTAAATAATTAAGTAATTTTCCATTAACCTTATAAAAATAATCATGGTTTATATAAGCAATACTTTTTGAGAAACATAAGCAAACCATTCAAGCAACGATCTAATGGAACAGTTGATTTGTTTTTCTTCCTACTAATGGATCAATGAACGGATCAATTTATTTATTTTCCAGACATAAACGAATGTACTGCAGGCACCCATAGGTGTGATCACACGTGTCACAATTCTATTGGTAGTTACTACTGCACGTGCCGAGATGGCTACCGACTCCAAGGTTCTCACAGCTGTTTAGGTAGGAGATGTTTCATCACTTGTAGAGTCACTGGAGATGATATAAAAAATTATATCTGAGGTATTTTGTAAGTTATTGAAAGTCGATATATATATATATATATATATATATATATATATATATATATATATAACTCCATTTAAATTGCATAGATCAGTAGACTGGATTTCACGATGTCATTTTTAGCGGTCTGTATTATGTACTGATGATTTGAGTGGTAGATCTTCAACATACATTATTTGCGTTAATCTAAACTACAAAGAAATGGTACGGTTTAATCTATTTTGAAACAAATTTACCTTTTCCAGATATTGATGAGTGTACCAGTAATAACGGTGGATGTTCTCAAATATGCTCCAACATCCCAGGAAGTTACCGCTGTAGTTGTAATGTTGGCTATGCCCTGCAGGCGGACAGTCACTCGTGTAGAGGTACAGTATGTTGGCTGGGTTACCTATAAGAATATAACAGTTGTCGGAACTCTCGATTTCACTCGCGAGATTTCGATTGTTGCTTTTATATAAGAAAGTGTTGCATTTTGGAACAAAGACTGATTTTAATGATATGTGATAATTCGTGATCTATTAATTAAAAAATATTAAACTATCATTTGATGTCATTTAGTAAATGTCATTTAGTATATAACGAATTTGATTTTCTTTAACATAACTAAAGATATCGACGAATGTTCCACTGGCAATGGCGGCTGTGCCCATAACTGCACCAACACCGTGGGAAGTTTCTTTTGTACCTGTAGGACTGGGTTTGTATTGGATGGGAACGGTCTGACTTGCTCTGGTAAGGGTGATATAGGGTTCATAATAAAATTATTTTGTTATTGATGTAAATGCTTTGATTTCTGTTGGTACATGTAGAATCAAATACATATTAAATTTATCTTTGTGTAAGCCGAAGTCGCTGTCATGCAATGCTCAATAGCTAAAAGGGTTGTCGTAAATTTTATATTTAGATGCGTTTCACAAAATTTCAAAATTGTTTTAACACGTTTATATTTAATCGGTAAAACCTCTGTTGATGATAGCCAACATCAAAACTAAATGTACGCTGATTTATTTTGATATTAGACCACGACGAGTGTTCAACCTCCCATCATGGCTGCGAACAGAAATGTAACAATCTTCATGGGAGCTACTACTGCTCTTGCAATATAGGCTACATTCTTGCTGCTGACAAGAAACTCTGCAACGGTAAGACAAAGAAGCCGTCTAATTCACAACTGAATCAAATAAATCTGCTTTCCCAATTTTTGTTTTCCTAAAGTTATGGATTTCGGGTGATAAAATGTATTTTTCTACGATGGTACGTGTAAGATACATTTATTATACATTTTACAACCCCTGGTGGCCTTTACACGGATTAATTTTTTCAGACGTTGACGAGTGCAGTAACGGGACCCATGCCTGTGATCACAACTGTCACAATACACGTGGTAGCTACACGTGTTCATGTAGAAATGGGTATGAACTGGCGCCCGATGGACGTGGATGTATAGGTAAATGGTGTGCTTAAGTACATGTACATAATACACATCACAGTGAAAACGACAGACGTGCGTGCTTTTGCACAAATGGACTTTAAGTGACGTGCATGTCAAAATAAGTTTAGAATGACGAAAAAAAGAAGAAAACATGTTCTTTACATAACTTGCATCTTTGCTTTTAAAGCTACATAGAGCGAAGTCACGGAAGCAATTTTGACTCTCATCCCGATTTACGTTTTTTAGATATCAATGAGTGTGACCGTGGGACCGATGGCTGTGGACATATTTGTAAGAACACCCAGGGTTCTTTCTACTGTACATGTCAGTCTGGATGGCATCTTGGCACTGATAACAAGACATGTTTAGGTATGTGTATATTATATAAATTATATCGTTTTTGATGGTAATTTTTCTGTATGTGATGCAGTTAGATGGAATATAATTCTCTACGTTGATACATCTCACCTTTAATATACTTTTCTAGTGGGTTACAATATTTATTATTAAAAGCCAAATAAGTTGTTAGAATATAAACATATGTATAGTATTTGATTAGCCTATAAGTAAAGCGAGAAAGGGAAAGTGCAAAAGAAGGATAACGGTTTATTATATGAAGTAATGGATTGAATAAGATGGAATAAAAGTACATGGGACCCTGCAGTGAAACATTATTTATTTAGGTACGCGTTCATTCGCAATTCTGTTATACAAATCGTATTTTCGATTCATTGCTTTTCAGGAAACCCCTGTGTTGCAATTGACACGCCAAATAACGGCGCCAGAGCCTGTAGTGGGTTTGTCACCAACGAGACGTGTACTTTTTACCTGTGATCTGGGATACTACATGGTCGGGTCTGCTAGCAGGGTCTGCCTTCCTAGCGCCACCTGGTCTGGCCAGAAGACAGCCTGTCTACGTAAGTATCAGTGGGTTCCTCTGGTTATAATTAAAGCACTGCTTTGTTGTATTCACACCTGTCAGTCATAGTAAGGAGAGGGGCAATAGTGGTCCTTTGCTGCATGTAGTTCTTAACAAAATCCTGTATTCAACACGTTGAGAATTATGTACGTAGTGCATTGGAAACCAATCAGATATTAACCCAAAATGCCACCCCACTACTTGTCAGTGCAACAGTATTTCCTGGTGTTGAGAATTAATTTGGGAATTAAGCTGTTTAAGATTGAATACATTTGTTAAAGTGTGGAAGTGTTGGCTTAACTCTTCGGGTACAAAGACAAAGGCTAAATAATTCATTAATAATGATTTTCGCATTAATACAGTGTTTCTTATGTCCAAAACGTCTGATTTTAGCCAAGCAGTGTCCTGACATTAGAAGCGAAGATGGACTGATTCCACAAAACGGCTTTGTCAACTTGCCCTGTCACACTGACTTCAAGTCCAGATGCACTATTGGCTGTTACGACGGACATTACATGGATGATTTCGTCAAAAATTTCAGAGAATGTATTGTGGATGCTGATGGCAGCGTTTCATGGTCCACGGATCTTATTGAGTGCAAAGGTATTCCGACCAGCTTTAATATATAGCAGTCAATCCTATATATAATTAGGCATATCTGAAAGTGCTGTTCCTCTCTCACATTTATATATTAAGTTATTAAGACGTAACATGTATGATAAGTTACGGTTAGGATTATATATATATATATATATATATATATATATATATATATATATATATATATATATGCTGGAACAAAATACTTCAGTGAAGGAATTTATAATGAACTGCAGACCACAAATAGTAGGAAAACATTCAAATATGCTGGAGTAAGATAACAAAAATGGCAACGTTGAACTTTAGAAAGTTATATTTGCTTTCAAATTAATAACTGTGGGTCGCAATAACTGGTTCATGTGTCGACATAGTCGCTACGAACAGGTTAGGTAACCATCCACGTGCTGCACGTTCACGCTCCATGTGCAATATTTCACTCCACCGTACTATTTCAGAAATCTCAACATGTTCCCCGAACCCCTGCAGACATGGTGGTGTTTGTGTTCCCATAAACGTTACCACCTTCCAATGTGACTGTACCGGTACTGGCTACCACGGAAACACCTGTGAACGCGGTCACATTGCCTCACCTGTCGACGTTGAATCACTACTCCTACACAGACAAACTAAAACATTCACTATAACGGCTAGACCTGTGGAAAGTTTGACAATCATTCCATATTCTGATTTTAATTCCATTGAATTCATTCCTTCATCAGTAACAATGAATAGCACGGTAACATCTGCGACTTTTGCTATGGTTCCTCGGAGGACTGGAACCTGGATCATTTCCTACAAACTGTCGGGACCCAGTGCCTCTGAATACGACCCAATTCCTGTAAGTGTCGTGTCTGTGGCAAGGCCTCGCTTTCCTGCTGAACTTTCGGTGTTTGAAAGACTTGGCATCGCTCCTGGTACTCTCCCCATGGGACAATTTTGGCTCAACGTGTCTCTGCTATCTGGTGAATTATCTTTAATGTCAACTGAAGAATGGTTTACGGATCCGACTCTCGAACATGTCAACTTCACTGGGGGCATAGTCCAGCTGATGACACCGTCTTTTACCGTGCCTTTAACTCTGTATGGACTTGCAGTTGAATGGAAAGGCACACCACTGACACTGAAAGTGTCCGAAATGACGATTGAACAGGAAGCTCACTTGAGCAATTATGACTCTTCACGTTGGAAAGGGTCCTTGATAAAGCCTGATGCCACGAGAATGAGTCAAAAGGACATAACTGCTTTGGAAGAGAGCAACTCATTGGCCAAAGCCATTGCTAACGTATACGCACAATACTTCCCGAAATGGTTAAACATTAGCTTTTCGTTTGATCGTGATAGTCGCGTTAATGTCCCAGTTCAAGTTGACACAAAGTCCAAGGCAACAATAGCTGACTGGATGAATTATAGCAAAAGTAATGTATTTCTATCGATGGAGTCCTCCGTAACAGCCAACATAACTCTTGGCGAGTCAACAATGACATTGCATAGCGGGGAAATCAATATGAGAACAACTTTAAAAGCGCTACCCACCAATGCCTCTGCCATGTTTATAAACATAACAAGCGAGATGGCATCCGAACTCCAAAGTACCGAAATGTTCCGTGCCCTTGACAATTACGGTTGGAAGGTTGGCGTGGAACAGATAGGGTTTTCGGGTCTCCAAGGGTTTGAGTTTACCAGTTTGGCACTTAATGTTGACAGAATCATAGGCGATGTGTGGGTTCAGTTTGTGGTGAATAAGACGTTCGATGATGCTTCTTCAAAAAGTGCGACGACACTCAACTTGCAGGGTGGCAGCGTTGTTCAAACACAAGACCTGGTCAAGGTTGGTTATATATTCCTTGAAACTTTTTTACTCAGTCTGAGAGTCCGTAGCTTTCTCACAGTGTCCAATATTATTAAAAAAGGAAGCTTAAAAAATACTGATGGGGTTAAAATTAACATGCACAATCAAGTGCATACTTGCTTATATGTACATATACAATGGATACTTTTTTGAAAATTGTGAGACGCCTACTTAAAATGATGTGTTCTTATTATTTTATTCTTATTATTATCTACATCTTTCATATGAACATCCACTGACGTATATTGTTAATCTACAAAAAACATGTACATTTTAATGCACAATGCATATCACAAGGTCAATTAAGCAGCCGTCAGGAAATGAAAGATTCGTAAAATTAACGGAGATTGGGTTTACTTTCCAGTCTGTATATCGTCAACTACCCGCTTTTGCCGGAGGTAAAGGTCGGCTCTTGCTGGACCACGCCGTGCAGAACTCTAACCTGTGGACCGTTGAGTCTGAGGATGCTGCATGGGCAGCAACACTTGGTGAGGCAAAATGGAAATATTGTTTTCAAGACTCGATGTTTTCGTTACTGTTTTAAATCCGATTTCTCTTAAGTATAAATTAAGCTGGCACATTGAATTATTTTAATTTACAATGACAAAAAGAATAAAGATAATAACTCCAAAGTAAAGAAATGCAAAAGCTGCGTAAATAGTGATTCTCTTGTGAAATCAACAATACAACATGTACGCAAACGAATAAATATAAACATCCTTCTTTTCAGGCAACACGAATACACTGGACTTCAACATGGTCGACTCAGTCGTCTTACTCAGTCCCTTGAACAAATATATCAAACCAGATAAAAATGTTCAAGGGAGAGTGACTTTCCACTGCAGTGTTCCAAACCCATGCTCCATTGGTCATTTTACTCTAACATTCCCGGGGACAATCTGTTTTGGAAGGCTCTGTCTGTCAGACTCCAATCCCGTACACCTAGATATGGAACCAAATGGGGAGACCACAGTTATATCCGAGGTCGGCCATGGAGAGAATCTGACATCCCATGTCGCTATACAAGACAACTGCAACATAACCATGGCGATGGATGGTTCTCAGAGTGTAACGGGGCAAGTTCCGGTCAAACTCAGTCTACTGGATAATGTGGTCCCTGTGGTTATGGTCATTGGCAATGAAACACTGAGCATAAGTTCCACAATCCAGTTAAATAGTTCATACCCACTTCTGGTAAACGTATCCTCATCCTTTGCAGATACATCTCTGCCGCCTTCTTGGAATCTTCAGGGCCGTTTTGTAGATGGCGACGGTGGCAGAGAAAGTTTGCAAGGTAGTCTTGAAGGTCAGTTTTACAGGTACTTTTCGGGCATATCTAATATAGTTGATGAACGCATTAAGGTGATCGACCAAGCTTTGGAAAACGCCAGAAATGGCTACAATGAGGCACAGGCACTAGTATTGGGGGCAAAAACAACATTGGACAATGCAACAAACGTGCTACAACAAGCAGACGCAAATGTGGTTAGAATAGAAGAAGAACTGCGCGTTGTGGAGGGCGAATTTCAGGCCGCGTTTGGTCATTTGGAGGCCACTCGCGAGGCGGTAGAGGGTTTGTGCACCACCGTGTCCTGTCCGGCTGTGGCCGTGTCTGGTGAACTCTGTGAGGTCAAAGACACTGTGGTGGATAAAAAGATCACCACGGAATGCTGCGCCCAATGCACAAAAGTCAGCCAAGTTGTCCGTCAGTACGTGTGTAGAACAACCTGTTTTGACTTTAAGAAGATCGAGGAAATTACTGACTACTGGAGCTGTGGCATGTTTGGTGGATTTTTTAGCGGTTGTAGCGGTGGAAAAGTTGTCACGAAATTTGAAGTCCATATCAAAGTCTATGACTGTAGAGAAAATGAAAAATACTGCCCGATGCTTGTGAACAAGGCCGAGGACAAAACCTGCTGTGAGCCGTGCGAGAAAATTATTGAATCCGGCATCGTACCTGTTGAAGAATGCCGAGTAGTTCCTAACCTTCACTACGTGTCCGACCCCGTGTGTGTCGCCAGAAACAGCGAGTGCAACAAAATTATACGATCGGCTTACGCTGCACTGGGAAAGAGCAGGAATGAGTCGTTTGAAATTCTGGACCAACTTCAAAAGCTGAGGATTTCAGCCAATGTTGCTCGCCTCGAGAAAGAAGGACAACAAGTCAGGCACGACTCGGCTGAAAGAAAATACCAGTCGGCACTTATTCTCAATGACACAAAACACAGCTATTTAAAACAAGCTAAACGAAGTAAAGAGCAGCTTGTTGCCCAACTACGCGACGCCTTACTCTTGCAAAAGAAATTAGTTGACCATACAAAACCTTTAAGTGTCGAGTATGTACAAATAAATATGTCGCTACCCGAGGATAAGGTTACGGTAATTCCAGTGACGATTGGAGTGGACGAATTCAGCCTGGGGAAAAAGGAGTATGTCACATTCCTAGATAATGGTAACCTACAGCAATCGATGGTAAACGCAGTTCTCCTAATTTCGCGACAAATTTATGGCGACATCGAGGCTGCTACGCGGAGCAAACGATCTGCAATGCCTTCCCGGAGACTCCGGCGGCAGGTTAGTGACCAAAATTCAACCAGTGACGTCATCCACGTTGAAAACAGTTGTAAAGTTTTCACGGCAATCCTTAACTATCTAAACGCGTCCATACAACTGGATAAGACCCTCAGACCACGAAACCAGACCACTGATGATAATATGACGTCATCAGTCAGCCATCTGAAAGAGCTTTCCCAGAAAACTTATTCCGTAGATCTTAATACTACAGGAATTCGTCTTCTTAACTTGACAGAGCAAGATCTAATTAATTTATCTTCACAGAGTGAAAATAATGAAACTGCAGCTATGAAGAACGTCATATCTCTGCTTGACCAAGAATTAACGGACGCAGGTGCGAACAGCAATAACAGTAACAATATAGAACTTTGGTACTATGCTATGCAGAACTTTTCTCTGCCCGACTCACTTTCGGAGACATTCAACTGTTATTCATTCTCTGACTGTATTTTGACTGAGCTCCAGATGTTGTCCGACATTTTACTAACATCTAAATACGTTCAGGCAAAGCAGATGTTATCTCGTGTACAAGAAATTCGACAGTCTTTCGAAATGTCTCTTGTCATTTTTGACTCAAAGAACTTTACCAGGGAAACGCAAACTTTGTTTGCAACCCAACTATCGGATTTTTTCTCTCTTCTTGTCACTCTACGGAATGAACACGCTATTTGTGGAGAAACTCCAACTATTTCATCGCAGTCAAATTTTACAGAATTTGTCAGACAAGGAGACCCCACTCGCCTGACCTGTGACGTCACAGGGACCCCAACGCCAGCAATCACCTGGAAGAAAAACGGTCTTCACTTGGCTTCAGTTTCTGGGTCAAATCTGGAAATTCCCAAAGAAATTGTAACTGATGGTGATTCCTATGAGTGCGTCGGTACGAACCATTTTGGTGTGGTAACGTCATTTCCGATGAGGATTCAAGTCGTGTGGGCCCCCACTGTGGTCTCCCACCCAGAGTCTACAGCGACCACGTACATGAACCCTAGGAGTACTGCTTTCACTTGTAATGCATCAGGTAAACATTGTGAACAACTGTCGGTTCTTTCTTTCTTTCCTTTTTTCTTTCTTTTTCATTCAGTGTCTGTATCCTCTTTTGTTCCCTTTTTTGACATTCAGTCTTTCTATTTTCAGATCGTTTTTTCTTTATCACATTTATTCTTTCAATAGATATTCACCCAGTTGTCATTTACTAGTTACCACTAGTTGAATAATTGTAATTTTGGTCGTTGTTTATCGATTGACTGGTATAGGTATTTACATATAAAACTTCTCATCTAAATTATATGTGATTGAAAGCGATATTTTTGTATAGGATCCCCGCAGCCCGGATATGAATGGTATTTTGCACGTTCTGCAAATGGAACAAAGCAACTGATTAATGACAGCGGATCAAGCATGCTGCTGATACGGCAGCCTACGGCCAATCAGACAGGCTTTTATTTCTGCCGGGCGTATAACGATTATGGCGAGGTATTCTCGCAACCGGCGAAGTTAACTGTTTTATCTATAAAAACTGCATCTCCCTTTGCACAACTGTCGTTTAAAGTTACCCCCAAATACTTGGCAATGACCATACCTGTTGGCCGCATCCTTCTTTCCTATGACGACACTACTAATTTGACAACAGTCAACATGGAGGACAGCACGGCTATTTCGTTTACTACCTTGATGACGAACACGACAGGAGCGGACGCAATGAGTACGGCTGAACCGGCCACAACGACGAGCGTCGACAGCAGCGTTTCCTTAGACAGATACAAAAATATTACCCAAATCATCAGCGAACTACTCCGACCTTTTAACCTGTCTTTGTTCACAATATCCAGTGAGCGGAAATATGCGAACGACGCAGAGGATTTGAAAGCGTACATTATTGGTCAAAACATGTCGGAGAGAGACACCCCATTCATAGATTACACAGATTTTGCAATCGCTTTAGCCGAATCTGTGGTCAACTTAAATACAACACTGCAAGATATAAATTCCAAACTTGCGTCCCAAGACAATTTCTATTTAGGAGAAAACCCGGTTGTCATTGGGAACATTTCTTCGGCTTTGATTCATCCATTCTGTTCCATTGGCAGCGGATTATCGCAAAATGGCTTTTTATGTGGTAAGTGCCAATATGTATTACAGCACTGTATGTATATAAGAATTATATAGATGCTTGAATATGGTGGTTTGATTAGTACGTGGATATGCATTTTACATATATTCTTGTAAATTCTCTCATTGATAAGCATACCTTAAAACCAACTGATATAGTCAATAAGGATGTGTTATCAAGATAATTGGAATCGGTATTTTATACATTGTTACTAAAATAATGGACATAATTATATATATATATATATATATATATATATATATATATATATATATATATATATATATATATATATATAATCGTCATCGTCCATTTCAGCTCCGTGTATCCCAGGTACTTACAGAGGCCAGGCGGACATTGTCAAATCAGGCTCTTGTCTGAAGTGTACAAAGGGATTTTACCAGCCGGACATGGGTCAGACATCTTGTTTGTCATGTCCAGTTGGTAACAGCACGGCCAGTGAGGGTGCAACAGAAGTAGAGCAGTGTAAAGGTTAGTACTGGTCAGTGCATGAGCGGCCATCTTGGAACAATGACAGACGGAAGGTCCATGCACAGTTTTGATTTCTTACCTGGGGAATTCACCAATTCACCAATAGCAAATGAACTATGCGCATTTATTCATTTATTCTCAGCATTGTCGAAAATAGTATTTCTTTTGCTGTTGAAATTAATTATTACTGATATATTTTCATTAAACTCAAAGGTTATCTTGAAAAATAATTACAATTTTACATTAGTTTGCGGCTTCCGTCACTTACATGTATTTCAAACACACTGACTTATCATGTGCTCCTTTTTCCAGACGCGTGTCCACCAGGGACATATTCTGCGTCCGGTGTCAGTGACCCTGCGTGTCTGCCCTGTCCTAGAGGGACGTACATGCCTAACACTACCGCCACCTCGTGTGTACCGTGTGAAGACACGCACTACACTCTGGCGGAGGGGGCAGTCTCACCCACGCTCTGTATAGGTATGGAGTAGCGCAAAATAACATTTATTTTAGTTATGGCATTATTTAAAAGTGATTCTACAGAAATAATATGTGAGACTGATTGAAAAAAAAACTATTAAATTAATGAACATAATGGGAGATCGTATTTTTAGTGAGACGTGCATCAGCAGTTGTTATTTATATTATCTTAATGTAAACATAAACATTGTTTTGTTTTTATTGCGGCGTGGTCAACCTGCTTTTTAGGTAATAGATTTATTAATAAAAATTTGCAAACCAATGCCATTTCTGAGGCATGTTCTATTAGGTCAGGATCTACTATAGGCCCTACTTCAGGTATCTTCAGAGTAGACAAACGTTCTTCTATGGGAATAAGATGATGCATGCCGTACGCAGTGCTGTGTTTTTAAATCCCAATTTGTTTCATTCTAGCCAAGTGCACGCCTGGTTCCTATTCTCCAACTGGCCTTGAGCCGTGTGAGTGGTGTCCAAAGGGAAGTTACCAGGCCCTGGACATGATGACCACATGTGACCAGTGTGAGGCAGACACGTCTACAAATGGAACGGGGGCCACTGCAAAGAGCGACTGCTTTAGTGAGTACAATGAATACTTTTTTAATGTTTGGGTTTTGTACAACATGTATGTAGGTGTCGCTATTACAAGAAAAGCCACATTGACCCAGATGCATTGGAAGGGGTGGCTTTTAAAAGGAGTGACAAAATGCGCGTTCTTACTCATCAACTTGTCATCATTATTATCATTATGTTCAGGATATCACAGGATCAGTGGATAACATTTTTCTTCCTTTTTTTAACTTTTTATTCAATGATTTATTCATTTGCAGAACTCTGTCCGCCTGGGACGTCGTCCCCGAGTGGGTTGGAGTCTCCCACGTGTATGCCGTGTGAGAAGGGGACGTATCAAGACGAAAAAGAACAGAAGACATGTAAACGATGTGCTGGACACAACACCACAATATCCACTGGGCTACAGTCAGAATTGGACTGCCTTGGTAGGTGACATGATTACATACTACCACCACTACCAATACTACTACTACTACTACTACTACTACCACCTGAGCTGCTGCTGCTTCTAGTTCTACTCCTACTGTAATATTAGTAATACTACTACTAAATTGAATAAATAAAAAATAATAGTAGCGAAATTATTTTTAGAATAATGACTAAAGAAATATCATTATTATCTTTTCTAAAATAACAACCATAATGATGACATATTACATTTATAAGTCAAATGCACATACATTGTAATATGAAAATGCTTGAAAATCAATTAAATTATGTGTTAGCATTGCAAAAATGAATAGAGAGCCATTTCCTTTACAGAACAATGTGCACCAGGCACGTTTTCCATAACCGGGGTAGCACCATGTGCCAAGTGTAAATTTGGACAGTTTCAACCGAAGTACGGACAGACTTTCTGTGAACGCTGTGAGTTTGGCAAAACGACACTGGGTGTGGGTTCGGAGTCCGCTGAGGAATGTTCAGGTAATTTAGGCATAATACATATACCGGGGGTATATGGCAAAGACCATAGATGCATTCTTTGTTGAATATATTTTCATATTAGGTCAAATTGCTCTTATATGCGTGTATTTGCGCATCTTTTGTCATAAACAGGTGCGTTTACGTCACCATTGGTTCATATGTCTCTAGAAGTACAACGGACAGGGTGTAATTTGTTTTCTGTTCCCTCTTTAGTGATTAACCTCAAACAAGGCAAGTATGACGGCAATATTTGGACGTGGGAGCTGTTGTTGATTTCCCTGATCTCAGCAATAGTAATCTCAGGTGAGCTGACCATTTGTTTTACGTACACACGTGAATTTTTAATAATTATTATTATTATGAGAGGCAAATTCACAGCAGGGACGTGTATCACATAATAATAATACAATTAAGACTGAAATCTGCTTTTTACTTTAAGCCTAAAATGTAAATCTATCTTGACCCCAAAGGAATCGATAGTAGTCTACACAAGTGTATCAATGAGCTTCATTTTGGAAAAGAAATAACTTTTTAGAATAGTTTTCACTTGGTTTAAATGGGCCTTTATTATTCATCTTTTAAATTGCATATAACAAAAATGTAATTAATATTATAATAGTTAAAAGTTAACATGCTCGTTTCAGTGACAATGTTGTTGATCATGTGTATTAAAACCGGCGGCTTGCAGAAGGGCACCAGCTCCCCAAAACACAAACGCTTCGGTAAATGTACGCAGTCGGATAGCAACGAACAATTACCGCGGCATTTGGTCATTGATCAAAGTGGCACCCATACAGTGAACGCCACATACGACACCACATGGTTCCCAAGTGGAGACGGAGCCAGAGAGGAACCAGAACCAGACTACAACGATGATCAAATATCAGAGAAGTTTAGCCAATACGCGGAGAACTACCCGGATGTCTTGGGTCAAGAGGAGCCCGTACCGGACTATCCTGGTGCGCCACAACGTGTGGAGGAATCGTCCTCAGAGAGCGAGTCAGGGCCGGACCCGGAGCCAGATTACGATGTAGCTTTACCGGTAATGGAGGATGAGCCTGAAGCTGATTATAATATGGTCGACTTTAAACATCCTGTCGGTGGAAGGAGTGTGGAACCTACATATGATGTCTCAAAACTGTAGCTACTTCGCCAGTGAAGAATTGAAAATTAGTTAATGGAAATGAGACTTTTTGTTCGTAACGTGCTCATCAACCATTGTTACTTTTGACTTAATATCGCTTATTTTATAAATATTTAGGTACTTAAATTTGTATTTTCTCCACATTATCATTTGAACAATCCATGAATTCTATCCCAGTAGATTATTTACAAAGGTTTGTAATGTTGATTTTTTACTAGTTGAAATTAAGGTGATATTAGTTAAAACTTCAGATGTATTCATTTTCTGTGTACATGATATATTCTGTTGATATATGTCTTTAGAGATCTGTATTTCGTGTGTAAGTGTGTGGAGGAGGGTGTGAGGTTTACAGGTACGTGGGTCAACAGGCACAGTGGGTTTTCATGTGTGAGCGTGTGTATATGTGGTTGCGTAAGTTTCCATATAGTACCCCGTCATACTATAGGCGGAATGAGCAAGAATGACGTCGGAAAGACAATTCTTTGTGCGTTCCTGGATATTCGAAGAGCATTCTAAAAATTCCAAGTGCATTCCAAATATTTTTACCCATTCTTGTGGCCGGCCCGAATGTTTTGCTCATGTTTTAAACTTTCGAAGTGCATTCCAAGTGGAAAATCATCGAATGGCATTTGAATAGTATTCTAACTGCACTATGACTGCATTCTAAATATTCTCACGGCATTCCGACAGCATTCGAAATATTCTGATCTCATTCGAGGGAGAACCGAAATGGCAAGACACTTCAAATCCTGCTAGAATGAGCCAGAATGCAACTCGAATGCATCTCGATCCTATTTCAGCTAGCAATCGAACTACACTCGTACGGCATTCGAAGTGAATTCTAAATATTCTGCATTATGACAGCATTATTGATATTATTAGTTTTCCAACTACATTGGAGCTGCTTTTGATAGCTAATACAGCCGAAATGTGCACAAATCATTCCAGGCGGATTCAAGTGCATACTGAGTATTCCAACGGCATTCTTACAAGGATTTAGGCCATTTTGAAATTTCTTCCCGAATGTAGTACGAATTCTTAAATTTAGACATTCCGGCTAGTTCTGCTTGATTCCTGCTGATTCCGAATAAGTGTGACGGCGGCTTAAATGGTCTTTGTTTCATGATTTACATGTGCATAGACTAAATAAGGTTTATTTCAAAGAAACGTGTATCAACACCAACCGTAATTACGTTTGGAGGGTGAAATTCCTCAATTGTTGTGATTGCTGCATTTTTATATGTAATAGAATACCTAGCCGCACCCTTTTTACGTATCATATCATACATAGTCACATGTGTGATTATTAGATGATGACAAAGTCATTCTCTGTGTTAAAACACCACAATATAGTGTAACCGAGTGTTTTTATGGAGTGGATTTATTCTTTTATCATATGGGGCCTGTTGGACATTTCAATTAAAAAGGCAATGACTACATGTTCGCTATTAACTATTGTTTTATTTCCCTTTGTTTGCGCTACACCATTCTCCGAACCTACGGTTTGCTGTTAACTGAGTACTACAATATTTTTATGCTGTAACATACTTGCTATAAGCAGCTTTCACTTATGTTTATAATGATATAAGTGACATGCAGTAAAGTGTATTTTAGTTTGGCTGTCGCCGGTGTGACAGGAATGGAAGTCCATTTGAAACCGTAGCCCGTTCCCCATTACTTTGTAATGGTGACATTTGGCCCATATTCCAACCCCAATACTCCGACTAACCCTAAACTGTACTAATCACAGGGGACTTCCACTCCTAGGACTACCACTCCTGTCACCCCGGGCTGCACGTGTCATGTTACAGATACATGTACCAAATGGATGCGTTCTCAATATAAATGTTAACATTGGAAAGCGTTGCATGAAGCCATACATAAAGCAAGTTGTAAACCAAACTATTGTACAGTTCAATCAGATCTGAAAATAATTGTAAGATACTTTCATAGACCATGTAATGTTACAAGAATAAAGTAGTGATTTTTCTTCAACCAACAGCTAATATTGCGTAGTTTTTATCTGTAACATATATATATATATATATATATATATATATATATATATATACTGGAAATTATGTTGATAATGTCTTGGATCGTCCACTTTTTCTGCTTTTCTTCTTGTGGTTTCTTGAATCAGTTCTGATGTTGCTCCCTGAATGCATTCTTCCATTTTCTGCCACTTCTGCTGTTGTAAAACTATCAGGAATGTCAAATTCATTTTAACTGTCAATTGATACTTGGCACAATTGGACCTGGATGGCAAAAATCTAAGAATTTTTACAAAACCTTTGGAACCTGGGAACAAGAAGCAGCAATAAAGATAGATAGTGAATGCAGTGAATTCAAACCAAGCTGCAGAGGAGTGAGATATGTTCTGCCACCTGCTCTCTTTAACATACACAGTGAAATGATCCTATGCAACATCTCTGATCAAATTCAAATTCTAACTGTCCAAGTCCCCAGCAGTCATTCACTCGTGTTTACTGTTATGTTCAGTCCTGGAGCTCCTTTCACAACAGGTGAGAGATGAATTGAAAGTACTTCATTTAAATTAAACATTGTTTTTGCTAAAAGTAGTTACTGTTTTAGCCAATTTTAGTCTCAGAACACACGTACAACTGCGAATTTATCCTGGGTTATACTAGAAAAAATTAAAAGGGTGGCCAAATTTTGGTCCTCGGTTTTGCAACAGTGCAACAATTAAGATCTAGTAGGGCAAATGCGTTGCAAGCTTGGCTTTTTGGCCATACACGGCACGTATCAGCTCGACTCCAAACGGCCCATAGATGTAGATGTCGTCACTTTTGTATCCAAGCTCATGAAGGGCGGACAATGTAGTGATTACGACTGCTGGTCCAGTGCAGATGATGGTTTTGTTTGTCTTGCCGTTGGCGGGTGGCAGGAACGGTTTTAAGGTGCTGGCGTCGATGAGTCCTTCGGTCCCTGTCCAGGAATCGTCGCACTCGCTAACGCAGAAGGTGAAATCAAAACGACTGTCGCGTTTCCCAAGTGCTGTAAGCTCCTCAAGGCATAATAGCTGCTCCGGCGTCTTGGCGTGGTAGAAGAACTTGACCTTGGTCGTGTCGGAAGGGTCGTTGGCGATGCTGCGGATAAGTTGTATGGCAGGCGTGGCCCCGACTCCGGTGGCTATCATGGTCAAAGTATCCAGTTTTCCCGCAGAATATTCAAAACCTCCACATGGACCTCGGCATTCTAGAGTGTCTCCTGAAATAAGGTAAGTGTACATTGAATTTTTGGTAGTTGTTTCCACGGCATAAAATATAACACACGTTTTCAAAAATGTAACCTCAGTTTGAATATCATCGTAACTTTTTTTCGTATATCCACAGTATTAAAACATACCTACGGTTTAAATTAAGCACAGCAATCCATATGCTTAAAGGGATAATAACTCTTCGTTTCGGCCAAAAAATGAATTTTCCTGGAGTAAACAACAATTTTCCCATACTTACCAATGGTTAACGAATCCATTTTTACATTCAAAGTTAGTCCCTGGTTTTTTTCTAAAAAGTTTGGTTTTTTGTTAAAATCTCTTAAGAGATTTTAACAGAGTATAGCCATCAATGGAGGTCACGTGGTCTAAAGACAAGCTCAGATATCAGAATAATAGCTATAACTGCCGTTTTTTGTGGTAAAACAGAATATATTATATTTCTATGAGTTATTCACAATGTTTTTATTGTGAAATGTAGATTTCATACGAAGAGTTATTATCCCTTTAAGAAAAGTAAGGCAAGTGCACGTACCGACTTTCATATTCTTAACAGCAATGGAGAATGCACCATGCGTCTCCAGGCGCAGCCCGAACTCCATCACACCAAACGCACTGGGAGCACTCATGGGCGACAGATATCGCTCGTGGAATTTCCCGCCAACATTGACACGTGCTTGCACATACTGACCGGGCAGACAACCTGAGTGGGCTTCTGGGTCAGGCAGAGCGAATTTTAATCTCTGGACTTTGTCTGCTTCTTGGATAACCTCTGTTAGCTTAATGGTGGTAAACGTATCGGCGTTTAAAGCAGCAAGGTGGACTTTACCGGCGGGGTCTTTGAAAGCGCCAAGAGGCAGGGCGGCAGATGTGGAGAAAGGGTCGTCGAAGTCAGTATCTTGGTTTGGCGCAGTGCCGCTGTCTTGGCCCAGCTCTTGCTCACACTCCCTCAACATTTTGTGCGCAAGCTCCTTCTTTACTTCAGGTTTCAGCTTCTTTAACTCGTAATTAAGAAGGCGTGTGTTTGATCTATGTGACCTACAAATTTAACATAACTATGTATGTCGACATTTAGACCTATGGAGTATTTATTTTAAAGGTACATACGAACCGAGCACCGGTAGAGCGTGGATTCCCATGCAGTAACGCATGTAAACCACTTCTACTAGATTCTTATATGACTCAAATAAATTCGACATGCCAAGGGATAAACTGAATAGATCACTCGATCAGCCATAAAAGACCTTTAGACTGCTCCTTTCTTAAAATTTTTGGTTGTAATTTTAACCTACTTTCGTGACCTACTTTCCTGTCCCATTGACATACAGCTTAGAATGCCAGCAGAAAAATCCGTTCAAACATCATTTTCGGGTAAAATTAAACAATGCCTTTTGGTAATTCTCTTAGTTATACTACTTGAAATTATATGCTGGCATTTGGTTGGTGTTTGTGACAAAAAATTGACATCTTGTATGCATCTTTAATGGTACATGTATTTTGTATAGCTATATATGACTTAAGACCATTAGCTTTTATTTGAGGAATTTGCCAGCTCTCCGCAACTCAACCTACCAGTAATCCAGCTGCTCCATACCCATGAGAGCCGTGGTTCCTACCCACTGCCGTGTGACCTCATTGCTCGGACCCATCACCCAGCCGGCCTTAGCGTCTCGGAGAAGACGCTCAATGCCTGCAATATTGTTAAATTTATATGATATTAATTTTGTGTGTTACTAAAAATGGGTTGTTGGTTCAAGTGTTGTTAGTTTGTTCGTATTACGTATTATTCAGCCGGTCTTTTAAATCAAACAGGAGTATCATAATATCATCCCTAACATCCCGAAAAGACTGCATTCTTGTCAACAACGTTTTGATGGATTCATCTATACGCTGTCCACATTATGAAATGATACACTGTGCCTAGGCAATACACATGAATCTGGCAGAGTTTCATTTCGAACTGAAACTCACCCAATTCCGTCTTGTATCCAGAACCACCGCAGGCGTGGAGCATTACATCGGAGACATGTGCGACATTTTTGGCCGCTGCAAACTTTATCTGCCAGCCCCAGTGCAAGAAGTCTGTTCTGAAACGATTATAGTCACCGTTCTCTATTATTATATCGTTTAGTTGGGAATAAAAATAGTCCTTAACAAGGTCAGGCTCTTTTAGCCATTTCCAAGATGTAATACTTATCAAGCGACTGATATACCTGTAGATGGAATAAAATTCTACACATTTTCCACATTGAGATGCTTTAACAATTTTCCAAAGTTTTTCTAGTTTATATCTGGAATGCATGTAGTAGGACAGGTTATTGCTCAGAACGTTTCGCAGCCACACTTTCATCTTCTCACCTTGGCATGACCTTGAGATCACTGTGGATGGTCCAATCATTATTATTTGTTGCCAAATCCATTCCATGAGCCACATTGAAAACAAAGGCTCGGCAGGCATTAGTGTCTATGATGCACTCTCCGAAGTAGTCCTAGAATAGAGTAAATCATAACTGTTGTTGAGAATACACTTAGCAGGTCAGGAATTAGTGTTACGATACATTATCAGTGGCGGATTTGGGGGGGGGGGGTGTCAGAGGGGCCTGACCTCACCCTTTGATCTCTGAAAAAAACACATCAATGATACCCTCTTGAAATCAGAAGTATGACTGGCCGAATCATAGTTCTAAACCACACCAAATGGCATTCTTCGTCCACTAAAATACACGAAATTTTCGGGGCCCTTCAGAGGGTCCCGAACCCAACGCAAAAGGGAATAGGGGGATAAGGGGCGGCTTCGCATCCGCAGACTCCCCTCCAAATCATCCTGGATGCGCCCCTGGTTACCTGTTCTGTAATTAAATTAAATATAACAAAATTAGTTACTGAACACAAAACAGCCTCTATACTTAAAAAAAAAAACGATTTAATCGGTGTCTCTTTATCTATTGATTTGTATTCCTTTGTTACAATCTATTACAATTATTTATTTCGCCTTACATATAAACTGTTGATCAATTTAATCAGTCGTGTTAACGTTTCTTATTACTTGTTAAAGCGCACAATTTAATCAATATTGCACTCTGCTTGTGTTACTTTGCTTATTCCAGATATGTGAAAAGTAGCTAGTGTTAGCCCAACAGGAAGTCGAAGACATCGTACATACTGACCAACATGGGGAATGATATTTCGCGTTGTCTATAAAGACAGAATATCAAAATCAACAGCGCCAGCATACGATTTAAAGCTGCCACATTCGCCGTACTACGGAGGATCACTCAAGATAGAACTCAAGTAAACGCACGTGAATTCAGAAACACGTGCAGATGACGTCATCGTACCTGTATTGTGGGATAGTCGCAAACTCGGAGTCCGGTGTCAGCGTGGTCCTTCTCCGTGGCATGTTTACAAGCAACATCGATACAACCAAAGGCTATACCGTTCCAACAGGAGGCAGTCAGTAGCAAGAACCACGTGTCAACAACTTCATCATTTATAGCAGCACCTTCACCTACGATAAACATGAAAGAGAAATAATTTAAAATTGACAGACTAAAACACAGCTATCCATGTTCTATAAATGACTCTTTAAAGTTGTATTCCTTATATATTTAATGTAGCAACGGGATTTAGGTCTTAAGGGGCCGTAACTTTTCAACATAATTTATTTCTTATACATCCAAATGAGAGGAAAGGTATTTGGGTTAAAGGATGAATGTTGCACGTACCGAGTTCTCCAACCTGCCTGTCTTGACTAAGCACGCCCTCTGTTATAAGTACGCCAGACTGGTTACCATGGAGACCTAAGGATTTCCAATCATCTGCATGAGCACGAACCTCGTCCTGTAATTTTGAAAGTAAAATTTAATTTAATAAATGCTCTGGTTTAATGAGTAAGCACAAAGGCTGCATTATTCCACGAAGAGTTTTACACCCCATTTCCATAGATTTTTAGATCGATCTATCCCTGTGGGGAGTCTCACTAGATTACTGTCAGCTTGGCCGGCTTAAGCGTCTGTCCCGCCTACTAAAAGCTGTAAGGGGGTAATTAACTATGGTACCCGCTCGGCTGACTGCAATTTAGCGTGAACCCCCAGGGAGTTAGGTCGATCTAAATCTTAATCTTTAGATCGATCTAAATCTCTGGGAAAGCACCCTTACATGCATTTATATTTTACATCATAGCATGTATATATCTCATCAGTTTATTAGCTTCAATCAAAACATGGCTTTAACGTACGTGTGAATTATGCAAAAAAATTATAAAAAAAATTAATAAAAAAACAAAAACAAAGCAAAATGTTTTGAAAGCAAATATAAAAAAACAATGTTCTTAACCTCATGACATTGCTTTTCGATGATCCAAATGGTTCCTCTTCAAATTCTGTACAAATATTACTATCGATATTGGAATTTGAACTATACCAACCTTGAACAGTAAAAATACGGACAGGTCGGAGTAGTCGCCGCCAAAGCCCGGGCTAGTGGTTTGGACGACGTAGAAGTCTGCAAATCCGGCGCTGGTTGTCCAGGAGGCGTATTTTAACATCTGGAACCTGCCATCCTTGGTATACCGGTTCTTAGAGGACAGTGGGTACCAAAAATGTCCACCTAGGAGATATCATAAGTATATGTCACGCGTAATGGCAATTAAGAACGACTAAATCTTTAATCGAATTCATGTACTACTGATGTTGTGGGCATGTGTTTTTAAAATACCACATCAGCTCTATGGCAAAGTATACGTGCTGTAGAAAGGTGGGGTAGATAATAAATAGTGATAAACTAAATTAGGAAATCGTAGAGCGATGACTCTTCTGGCTTATGTAAACTTAAATTTCTCACGAGTGTATTCCCAAAAAATAAATAAATGAATAACCCACTTTACCTGTCGCGGGATCACTAAAAGACTCAGTCCCCACCAGCTTGTCTTTGTCCAAACGTCGGAGAACACTTTTGATGAGTTCGTTGTTATGGTAACGAAGAAGAAGACCACCCACTGCGCCCACGTGCATACCTAGAATGACGAAATAAATGAAGAAAAAGGCCCAAAACAAGGCTCTAACAAGTCCACAATTTTAATTGATTCTTTTTAAATCACCCTTTTCAAATCTTCAAAAATTAATCACAATGGAGAACAATAATAAATTCTAATTACAGATATGGAAATTAAGGTCTCGTTGCTTAATTTTTATTTTCAATTTTTTTGTTTTCTCGCAGATATGAAAACATTTTAGTACTGAGCCAATGCTTTCCAACTTATTTCACCTAACAGAACGTTCCGGCATATAGATGGCGTAACTTACAGTAAACCATAGCAGTACTGGGACATCCATAACGTGCAATAGTCTCCACCACCATGGCGGCACACACGTGGTTCTCGCCCAGCCCGCCGAGGTCCTTCGGTACAATCAATCCCAGCAGCCCTAGCTCCGCCATGGCGTTCAAGTTTTCTCTTGGGAATTCATATGTCTCGTCATATCTTACCTGATTGATTATAAGATGTAAATTCAGGGATGAGACTGGGAGATGTAAATCTCTTTACACATTCTTGAATCTATGTACATGTGTTGTTGAATGGAGAATATCCATATCAATTGGTATTATGATATAAATTTGAGAGACAATTTACAGACATGGGCTGCAATAATAAAGAGGCCTAACTGCCCCCCCCCCCTTACGTCTAGTTCGGCCTTGTCAGACATCTATCAGTAAGCAAGGAGGCAAAGAGAGGGGCTTCCTCATATGCCGTTTATTTGTTTACGACCCTGCCCCCAACATACTAAAACATTTGCTTCCTATTTTCATAAAATTCATAATGGATTACATTTTTATGGCGCATTTCATCAAAATCTCAATGCGCTTTATAGAATATCTTAACAATTTAAAACACAGTTAATTAATCAATTACAAAAATTAAATTCAATTAAGCGATTAATAAAATAAATAAATAAAACATTTCTAGATTTTCGAACGTCATTTTGAAGTACTAATACTGTGTGAAAATGAGACCAAGGCTCCAAGAGGAACAGTCAGTAAGCATACTTCGTGAAGTCATGTGTGTCAGTAGTGCTTAGCAAGTACAAAGAGTGTATCTACCGGGCTTAATGATGTAGTCATCTGTACTGTTAACAAGATTTCACATGCACTGTGCATACAGACATGATATTGCTTTGAATCCAAAATGATAAAGCGCAGCTTTAAAGATACAGATAAGACCATTATCGGCCTGATTCCTGTCACAGGCAGTAATAGCATTATAATGCATCCGCTCTTTAAAAAGAAATATAGAAAAAAAACGAGAAAGACTGACAGAGAAAACATGAAAAAGAAGAGGGGAATAACAAAAAAGAATAAAAACATACACGCGTGAAAAGTGGGCCAACTTTTAAACGACAGTGCTCTACATTGTAGGTATAGTGTTGTCAATGTGGATCTGGATTTGGTCTGGAAGGGGCAGCTACTATGAATATATGGCATCAAAATAAAAAATGAAATTTGATATTCAGCAGTGTTTTAAATGGCGCATTACTTTCCGTGCCCCCCTTTGACATAAGATCGTGACGTCGTGTCACTTGTGCATCCAGTATTACTTTGCGTGATGCTATGTTTAGAACACTCGCGCTACTGGCGCTCTGGGCGCTTTTTTAAGTTAAAAATTCCACTGAATCGTTTTGTTCATTTTCAGTACTACTGGTTTAAATTTAACGTATTTTATTGCTGGTGCAACGGCAAACATACAGGGTATTACAGACACAATTTAAACCGAGTTGTAGTGTAAAAAAACACTTACGGCATTTGGTCGCATCGTCGTTCGACACAGCTCCATCAGCTTGGCCTGCAGTTCCCTCTGTTTATCTGTCAACACCCACTGATGGTCGTAGTTGAACCCGACCCCCCAGTAAGGGCGCTTACCCCAGGGTTTCTCTGCAAACATATCCATGGTGCTTAAGGGTGATCAGACGCTCTCTCTAAGTGACGCGTTGAAACGAACTAAGTGTCTCTCATGTAATGCCTCTAGCTTAAGTCGCCCGATATGCCGTCTAGGGGTCCTGGGTCAAGGTTGTGGGTCTTTTGACAGACGTACGCTACGGTGGTGTTTAAGGTGTGATAAGATTACCGTATGAGAGGGTCCCGCTTGAGGGGTCGTGATCACAGTTCACGGAAAACTAAAATCGTTGATTTCAGAACATATAGTATATAAAACTTTATTTATAACTCGCCTACTGGTAATGCTGAAAATACAGAAAATCATGAATTACAGGGAATAATTACTTCGTTTCACGAAGGGTGAAGAATAAAACGACGCATTTATGAGTCAAGGGATAGGTGTGCTGCACGGGCCACGCTATATAAAATGAACCTGTTCCGCATCTCAGGAAATAAAAAGTGTCTTTCACCGGTAACGAAAATACCCTTGGGTCCCTCGTATGACGTAATTCCACTTGAAGTGAGCTTAGATTCGCACTTCGGTTGATTTTAACAGAGACAT